AACTCTGTAGCACCAATGACTACCTCCAGAGATCTCCAAAACACCTGAAATCGCAAACTAAAGGACAAAGTCAAAAATCACATCTAAATCCTCCTCAAAACCTGCAGACAATCGGAATGTCGCCCTCAGTCATGGCTCAGTGTGGAGTAGTAGCAGCCCCCTCGACCACTTCCTCTCACAGTCAGCGCTACTGCCCCTCTTAGGGTGCTGCGGCAGTTAAGGAGGTCATGGCTTAATCACTTCACCACAGAGACCCCTGAGCACAATTATGCATAAAATATGGCAGCAATATGACAACAATGAAGAAATAGAACACTACAGCTGTACAACAATAGATAGGAAATACTGAAAAACATGTAAAAAAGACATTATAACACAAAGCAATCATTAAACACAAAGGTAATTATTAACTAAATACAGTATAACGACAATGAACAAGTTAGCATCTGTAGTTTAGTCGTTAAGAACCCACTTTCTAATTCCAGGATGCCAGGTTCGATCCCAGCTGCAGGCGATTTAGCAGCAGACTGCCTTGTGTTGGTATCGACAGCAGTATGGAGAGTCGGTCTTTCAGAAAACAATGGCAAACTACTAAAAGTAAAACTGTCTAGTGAAACCACGAGCCAAACAATGCTGGGGATGGTTCTGCAATGTTTTGTAAAGGATACACAAGTAACTTAATGAATAAAATTAATAAATATTTAAAATACAAAACAGCAGATATCAATACAACAGCAAGCAACACAGGAAGAGAATACTACACTCAGACAACTTAACACTTATCAAATAATCAGTTAAAAAGTAGAATGAGGATGTCCAATCCAGTGTTATGTAAACAAAAAGAACATATTGTTAATCTTACACTTCCACATGATGTACATGCAAGCAAAGGCTATGTGGTTTGTGTATTCCACTTAAAAAGGATTAATTTGTGTGTGCTTATGTCGATATAATTCTACAGTTATTTGCCCGATGATATACAACGAAATATTCCAGGCAATAAATTGTGCACATACTATTTATGTTATAATTATTTAAAATAATCAGCTTTAAACAAAAATGACACAGTTCAATAGTACAATAGAAAATTTAAAAACAAATGCAATATGGCCACTAGAATAAAATTATAAGACAGTATTAACCAATAGTTAGTTGTGTATCCTTTACAGGACTTTGCAGAACCAACCCCAGCAGCTCCTGGCAATAGTACACCTGATAAAAATCTAAAAATATGTCTGTTGAACAAGGTAGAGGTGAGAGGGTCGACTTCATTGCACTGGGTTTTATTCCAAATGGCTCAGTCTCTTTCCTCAGAACAGCTAGCTGCGTGCTGAAAGCATCACACAGAGCACGACCTCCGTAACTAGGGATGATATCCAGGGATCTCTATACAAACTGCATTCGGAAACTGAATGGAGCCGCTGTGAAATGAACCTACGACCTTCAGAAGGCGGGGCAAACGGCTTGACCACTTCATTATGGAGACCCCCTGTATGTTGAACATTACAACACAAAAGCATGACATTTGATGAGATGTTGTAGCACAGTATCTATCAAGCAAAAAACAAGACAAATTGTAGATATAAGGACTAGTATCTGCTTGCTTTCCAAAAAAGCAGAACTGGTCCTGCAGTGGATAGCAGCTCACTGTGGTATTCCAGGATGAAACAAAAGCAGGGAGTAATTTTCCACAACTTCATCCACTACAGAGTTACAAAGAAACCAAACCAGCCTTCAAACAGTCATTCCAGCGGGAGTGGAGAAGGCAGAATAGAGATCCCAAACGGAGAGTGATAGCATAAACAAACTTATTGGAAAAGAACAAACATTAATGTTTCAGCTTCGGACAGGACACTGTGGTCTTACAGCATACCTGCACAGGAAAGGCCTGTGACTGTGGAGCAGACAGATATATTCCTGAGCATGTACTATTGGAACATGTACTGTTGGAACATGTACTGTTGGAGCATGTACTATTGGAGCATGTACTGTTGGAACATGTACTGTTGGAGCATGTACTATTGGAGCATGTACTGTTGGAACATGTACTGTTGGAGCATGTACTATTGGAACATGTACTGTTGGAACATGTACTGTTGGAGCATGTACTATTGGAGCATGTACTGTTGGAACATGTACTGTTGGAGCATGTACTATTGGAACATGTACTGTTGGAACATGTACTGTTGGAGCATGTACTATTGGAACATGTACTGTTGGAACATGTACTGTTGGAGCATGTACTATTGGAGCATGTACTATTGGAGCATGTACTATTGGAGCATGTACTGTTGGAGCATGTACTGTTGGAGCATGTACTGTTGGAGCATGTACTGTTGGAGCATGTACTGTTGGAGCATGTACTATTGGAACATGTACTGTTGGAGCATGTACTATTGGAACATGTACTGTTGGAGCATGTACTATTGGAACATGTACTGTTGGAGCATGTACTATTGGAGCATGTACTGTTGGAGCATGTACTATTGGAACATGTACTGTTGGAGCATGTACTATTGGAACATGTACTGTTGGAGCATGTACTATTGGAACATGTACTGTTGGAGCATGTACTATTGGAACATGTACTGTTGGAGCATGTACTATTGGAGCATGTACTGTTGGAGCATGTACTATTGGAACATGTACTGTTGGAGCATGTACTGTTGGAGCATGTACTATTGGAACATGTACTGTTGGAGCATGTACTATTGGAACATGTACTGTTGGAGCATGTACTATTGAAGCATGTACTGCAGGACTGCACTAACTACTCCCGGCTAAGGTCATGGATGTGGTCCAATTTAAAAAATGCCAGGAATCCTCTTAAAGGCCAATGCAAAAAATAAAAAAAAATATCTAACCCTAATTAAAAAAATTACATAGATGATGCATGGTTTCTAAAAATAAATTACAAAAAACAAAAAAAAAAACACAACTACAGTTGCTGGTACATGTCGCGGTAAAAGAGCCAACAAAGAGAGTGACCTCCCTTCCCACTGATGCCTCGATCTGGTGTAGCACCTATACCATGTTGCAGAGGTTTCAGGTGTAGTGAGTTGTATTTTACTTCTTGTTGTCAACAGCCAATGATATCTCGTCTTCTATGCTTTGAGCACTTTTAACAGTCCAAAAACATATACAACTGTGCATAACCCCAACCCCCTTGCTCCACAGCCGCAGCCTATGTCTCACGACTGTATGCAGCCTCTATTATACTCTGCATACAGTTGTGCGACCTAGGATGCTTCCCCGCGGCATAGAAGAGACACACCAGATTGAGGCATCAATGGGAAGGGAGGTTTCATCGTTGGGTCTCTTAATGGGACTAGAACCCAATTGCAATGTTTTTTTCTTTTTTGGTAACTAAAGCCATTGGCTGACCTTTTAAACACTTGAGCATGTGCAAATGGAATCAATGCTTGTAGTCTGGATACTCATTTTTAGCTGCATTTGTGGAGGCAGGGCACACACCAAAGTACAGCATATGGTGCTTATCGGGAAGAAAGCGTTAAACTGTTTCTACAACTTGGAAGAGTTTGTGCAGCTTTTGCCAAGCATTTTCGGCTTATGTAAATCATTTCAAGTTTAAGTAGTAAAGTTGTAAATAAATGATCATTAAAGTCTACAATAAAATAAAGTATAAAATCGAGAAAAAAAAAAGACCAACCCTTAAGAAGACTGACAAATGTATTTAAAATCACAAATTAAAAGGAAAGGAACTGTATAAAACCTTTTTCTTCTTATAGTCTAGGCTGTATGGTGTTGGTAGTCATGTCTATCCCCAGCCTTCTGTCTTGTATACTTTCATACAATTCTGACACAGATGACCTTATATGTCATGATGTCAAACTGTCTAGCATCTTCTCTCTTGTCTCCTTCCTCCTCTTTTCCCCTTCAACTTTCCCACTATCATCATGTGCTCCAGTCTAAACACAAATAACCATGGAGGTGCATGTAAAACAAAGCTGGAAAAAGACCAAAGTCCAGGAGTGGATGAACAACCAGAACTTTCCAACAGAGTTTACAGCAGCTGGTGAATCCTAAGAAAAAGAAGAAGACCAAGGATTTGAACCCAGGTGTCTCTAAGGATATCCTATCATTCTAACCTTTTGGCCAGCCATATCTTTTTAAAACAATATATAAATTCAGGAAAAAAGCCAACCTTTAAGGATTACTAAAAAAAAAAAAAAAAAAAAAAAAAGTAAAACCAGTGGAGATTTATTCCAGAAACTTTTAGAAGTTTGGAGAGGAAAGGAAGACTGTGAAGAGAGGAAATCTTTATGTGCATAAAAAGTCAAGAAATATAAAACACAGTAAGACTGCAGGAATCTGCTCAGTATAGAGCTAGAAAACACGACAGAAAGTAAGAAAAGGTTAGGAAATAACCAACAAATGTCTACCTGGCCACAACAAAAATTATGATAAAAGATGACAGGGTTGATTTTACTGTTCCTTTGCAGGTTCTGGATCCCCATTTTAAGGGGTTAAAAAACAACCAAGCCCCTGCTCCTCTAACAAGTATGTCATTAAAGGCGCTTAACTAGAGTTGTTTCCTTTGAAGTCAGAGTGTGTCTGCCCAAGAAGTGAGGAACCAGCAATCTGCATACATCTAAGCCAGGTCTGTAAAATGGATGTGCATGCAAAACTCAAGTTTGTGAACAAGACTCCAATCCTGAAGCTGACAAACAACCAGAACTTTCTGTTTGAGTTTACAGCCAGTGAAAGCTAAGAAGAGGAAGATATAACTGCACTGGGTTTCATCCCATCAAGCTCTCAGTCCCTCTGTAGAGAGCAACTCGTCTGCTGAAAGTGTCGCATAAAGCACAAGTTGTGTCTCTTTTAGTGATAATTCTTAGTGGTCCCTAAACCCACATGAGTTCAAGGTAAACCTTCAAATTTCAATGCATGAGGCACACTGCTTAACCACATCACCACTGAGATGCTCCAACCTGATGGTGAACATCATCCTTCAGATCCACTGAAAGTTCACGTGCGTATCACTGAAAATATTTGAGGCCAGTCACTGCCAGGAACTTCTCAATAAAAATTTCGGAGTCCAGGACTGCGATGTGTGCAGCTCGTCCAATCATTGTGTTTGCTGTAGAAGGGAGTGCATGGAATACATCGTAGCGTATCAGCGTGCAGTGTGGAGACTGGATGATTGGTTCCAGAATATTCTGAACCATCTCTCTGTAGACGGCCCCTGGAAGAAAAAAGAGCAGGCAATGGTGAAAATGAAAAATAATAATGTAGGAAACAACACACACCTCTTTTTAGTGACTGTTTTCCCTTGTGTGGGTTCATTAACCCCCTTTTGGGGTAAAACAAGAATAGACCCACCGCCCCCATAACAAGTGGTTGTAAAAGTTGACTAATTAAAAGTGTTTCCTTTAAAGTCAGGGTGCATCTGCCTGAGATGCGAGGAACCAATAGTGTGCATTTAAATAAGCTAGATCTTTAAAATGGATGTGGACGCAAAACTCAAGTTCTGCAATAAGAAGTGGCCGGGGTTTACAGCCGGCGAACGCTTATGATATTAAGAAGAAGACTGTATTTGCCACTCTTTAGGGTGCTGTAGGAGGGGCTAATGGAAGCACCGTGAACTGTGCATATTAGGATTGTTATTTTTGCCAGTAATCCCCCCCCCCCACACACACACACACACGTGGGTTTCAGAGCCCCACTGTGAGAAAAATAAGAACAGACCCCCTGCCTACCCAAAAGCATGCCATAAGAGTCGACTAATTGAGGGCCTCATTCAAAGTCAGAGTGTGTTTGCCTGAGATGCAAGCAACCAACATTCTGTATACAAATAAGTTGGATGTGTGAAACAGATGTGCACACAACACTCAGGTTTTGGAAGTGGACAAACAACCAGAACTTTCCACCAGAGTTTACAGCCAGTGAACATGAAGAAGTAGGAGATGATGAATGATAATCTGATATGGGAAAATGTGTGAAATGATATACTGATCACAATAATGGGTATACCTCCTGCAATTATTGAGCAAAATACTGTGTATATCTACTGTAGGTAATGACCATAATAATAGGTATGTCTCCAGTAGGTACAGAACATAGTAATGGATATATTGAATATATCTCCTGCAATTATTAAGCACAATAATGTGTATATCTTTTGTAGGTACCGACCATAATAATGGGTAAATCTCCCGTAGGGTACTGACCATAATAATAGGTATATCTCATGTAAGTACTGACTATAATAATAGGTATATCTCCCGTAGGGTACTGACCATAATAATGGGTATATCTCATGTAAGTACTGACCATAATAACAGGTATATCTCCTGTAAGTACTGACCATAATAATGGGTAAATCTCATGTAAGTACTGACCATAATAATTGGTATATCTCTTGTAAGTACTGACCATAATAATAGGCATATCTCCTGTTGGTACAGACCATAATATTGGGTATATCTTCTGTAAGCACTGGCTATAATAATGGCTATATCTCCTAAAAGTACAGTCAATAATAATGGTTACATCATCTGTAAGTACTGAACATAATAATGGTATATCTCCTGCGATTATTAAGCAAATAAATGTGTATATCTCCTAAAGTTACTGATATATTTCCAGTAGGGTACTAATCATAGTAATGGGTATATCTTCTGTAAGTACTGGCCATAATAACTAGTATATCTCCTGTAGGTACTGACCATAATATAATAATGGGTATATCTCTCAAAAGTACTGGCCATAATAATGGGTACATCTCCTAGTACTGACAATAACAATGGGTATATCTCATGCAAGCATAGACTATAGTAATGGGTGAATCTCATGCATTTATGAACAACAATAATGGACATATCTCCTGCAGGTTCTGATGAAAACTATCAGCACACCTACTCCACAGACAATTATCAAAACAACAGACACATCTGCAATTTGCCCATACTACACCGAAAGAATGTTTTATAACATGCAATGCCCACAGTCAACAAACTACCTTACCAGTGACTGTCCCATCCTTCTGTGCTGACCTGCAGATCTCAATTCGAGAAGAATGATAGGGAACATAGCGATCCTGATGAGATCCCACGAGAAGGACGTGCTTGAAGTACTGAAGCACTGAAATGGAAGAGATTAACTCCTTTAAAAAAAAAAACTAGGCATAATTATCATTAACAGGATTGTCTGGACTGAATATTAATGGAATACTAAACAATCCGAGATATGCTAATAACACAGTGTTACCGGCAGAAAGTGAGCAGGAGTTATAGGTCCTAGCGGACTTTTTTCTCTTTTTTCTTAAAGTATCCAAAAACCATGAGTTGTTTACCCTTTCGCTCGGCACTATGGATATCGCAACCCTTCGGCCTTGATTCCATGATAGATACCGTAAATTTTGGAGAAATGTGGCTTTTCTGTCTACCCCAGGGAGTGAACTCTGACCACAAGGAGTTCGTCACCTGGTAGCTGCAAAATCAGGTTTAACCAACTACGCTAGTGAGCTGGGGTCATGGCAGAGTACAGAGTGTGGATTAGACATTAATATTCAGGGGGAGAAAAACCTATGGTAATAAACAATTGAAACGAGCAACCAACAGTGAACATCACAGCAAAAGGAGAGATATTAAAACAAGAAACAAGTTTCTACTATCTTGGAAACGTAGTAACAGACGATGGCAGATGTGTAACACAAATAATAAAAACAAAAACAAAACAGGAATGACTAAAACTATCTTCAATAAAATACAAAAATTACTGAGGGTTAGAGGGATAAACAACATGTTAAAAATTAAAATCGTCAAATGTTATGTATACTCAAACCCTGCTGTATGGTGCAGAAAACAAGCAACTGAAAAATCAAACTGAGTCTCTGGAAGTGTGCATATATATTTATACAGATGAATAGGCCGTATTTCACAGAAAAAAAAAATCATCAACAAGTGAGGTTATGAAAAGATTGCCAATAAAAAGAGAATTATTAAAAGAAGTTAAAAAAAAAGTGTGTATATATAGGCCGTATTTCACGGAAACAAAAATAATCAAACAATGAGGCTCTGAAAAGACTGAATGAAAAGATCATTATTAAAAGAAGTTTAAAAAAATAAAAAACAGACAACTGAAATATACTCCCCACATTAAAAGACAACACTCTTTAAAAAAACAAAATACAAGATCGTTCACTGTGGAGATGGCACCTGATTGACTGATCCTTAATGGAAAATAAGGGGACATCACAGATCTGAGGCTTATTGGTTAAGGAATCACCATCATCATCAACATAAATCACTTCTGCTGTTAAGCGTTGAGGAAAGAAATAATATGCGATCCACTGCACGCTGGCTACCACTGGCTACTGTCATGCGGTGAAGGTATAGAGTGTCTGTAATGCTGCTGATGAATTATTTTGCGGCTGATGTATTTAAAATCTCTGTTCTAGGGGGCCAATGGGTCTGCAGTGAATTTAAACTTAAACATTGGCAGTAGATTAACGCACAGTACCTTACAACTCCAGGATTTGTTAAGATAGTCATTATGACGATGATCCAGGAAAAGATGGGGCCAATGTTCTAAGTTGAGATGCATGTAATTCAGCGGAAATCCTTTACAGAAGTCTTGCACCACCAACCCCAAGCCATTTACAGGAGGTTGCAGAACAAACCCTAGCCTTTGTTTGGCTGTTGTGGTTTTCTAGGCAAATTTTATGTTCAGTAGTTTGCCACTGTTTTCTGAAAGGTCAGCTCTTGGTACCACTGTCGAAAATCAAAACAAGACAAACTGTCCGCAGCTAGGATCGAACCCGACACCCCGGCATTACAAAGCATGTTCGCAATGCCACAAGAAAAAGATTATGTGACTGTATGTGAATGAATTGTGAATTTTGTACGCAAATAATGTAGATTTTTGTATCGAAAAGAAAGAAAAAAAAGAAAACAACCACTGAAGAATAAGCCCTAGTGCAATTTGTTAAGCAAAGATTAATATAAGACAGTCTTGTTTTTGAGGAAAGGTACTAACCTGGCTTTTGACTCAGTTTGTACAGAAATGTCTGCCTTGGATCTGAATGATCCTTCAAAGACAGCTGCAGCAGGGAACCAGACTTCTTCCATTTCTGCATGAACCACATGCCTGCAAACGATGGAAAACATTTATATTAATGCACATAAACATATGAACATGTTTTATTTTTTTCTCTTCCTTATACAACCACTCATACAGAGAAACAGATGAGACAGTCTAGCCATATGACATATTTATCTGGTAAAAGCTGATAAAAAGAGATATTGAATGGCATCTGATTAGCTGGTTCTACAATTGATGCATGACAAGATAGATGTTGTCAAAGCCATTTGGTAACATGTGACCAGTTAGTTAATCAACAGATTATCCTCACTGCACATCTGACAAGTCCATAATCCCCACTGAAGAAAAAATACAATGTACACAGAGCAAGGAGAAAACCATGCAAAAGATGAAAAGATATAAAATCAAACAGGAAGTAGAACCAGTCAGCTACACATTATCACAAACACAAACGATAAGTGAACATTGTGGCTAGAAAGCTTTCATCAGTACACTCCATGAATGTACAATACCATGAAGAGAACAAGAATACACAAAATCGCTTAACTGATGCATCTCTGAGAGAAATCATATATTTGTCTGGCCAGTTTAATTTCTGGCATGTGTGTGCCCACTAAATACTGGACTGAAAAATCGGTGAACAACAAGGGTTGTAACTCAGAAATATTAGATAAAACAGTATTTGATGTTTAGACTGCTAGACAAACTGGAGCCCATTTGACAGTCATGCAAAAGATGCAGCAACAGTATCAAAAACAGCCTGAAAGAAATGAAGATCATGAAAAGATATAAAACTGAATGAAAAGCAGATCAGCGAGCTTCACAATAGAACAAACACAAACAAAAAGTGAACGCTGCGGCTACAGAGCCTTCATCAGGACATACATAAATCAAACATAACCACACGAACACACAAAATCACTTAAATTATGTATCCCAAAGCAGCCATGTTGATGTCTTGCCAGCGGAATGGAATGAAGAAATGAAGATCAACTTAACAAGGCATTAGAAAGAGTATACAGAAGATTCTTACATCTCCCCCAACCCATCACTGGGGTAACTAAAGAAGTAGATCTTCCATACATGTCATATGCGTGTGATGCAGGCTTCCTACACAAACAAGTTCCCTTGGCCTGTCCCGCACAATTGCCATGGAACAATCAGGTTCCCATGACAACACTCAAGCCAAGAACACAGGTTACACTTTCAGGTCTTGATATCTAAACCAAGCGAGGCGAATGTGACATCGTAATATTGTTATTGAGTGAACAGTACCCAAGAAACACTGTAATTCTAAACCTCTGTTCTCTAGCATCCATCTTTTTTCAAGGACGAACACATGATGACAAAGCACTGGTCATCAATGAATAACTTTATCAGCTTACTTCTTCCTGCCAAATACATTCACAAACTGGCAATCTCCAGCACATGAATGGAGCCACAATAATGTAAGACAGCATAATTTTCTTTCCCTAGCTCAACAGCAGTATTTGTAGCAGCCTTACCCATGTTAACCAAACCGCTGGTGTTGTACAATGTCCCCAGGTGAGGACCAGACAGAGACAGAAGTGTGTACAACTTGGGCAGCAGGTGAGACATTTCAGGTCTTGAGAGTGCTGATCTGATGATAATGTTTCCAAGTGAGTGCCCCACAAAACTGAAAAGAAAAGACAAATTTTAGCAATCAAAATGATTCTAATTTGTAAACAGGCTGCCTGTGTGGGTTGTGAGGCCCCAGTTTTTTAGGGTTGGGGTAGGGGTGGGGAAAAAACACCACCCCCCTAACAAATATGTCATTCAGTGCAATAAATTAGGGGTTTTCATATATCGGATGTGTTGGGTTGAAAGATGCAGGTATTACAGTCTAGCTGTAAACCCCAACGCAATGAGCCAACCACCCCCCCCCCCCACCCTACTTTCAAACATACAAGAAGACAAAGTAAACAAGCAAGATTAAAAATTGCAAGTATCCAACAATATTACCAGCACAACAGCACATCATCATCATAATCATATAGAAGGTTCTTTGCAGCATCTCACCCCTATAATGATCTGCCAGAAAGTCTCATAGCCCCAAGCCAACTCCCTGACTCACATACTATCATGACCTGCCAGAAAGTCTCATAGCCCCATGCCAACTCCCTGACTCACATACTATCATGACCTGCCAGAAAGTCTCATAGCCCCATGCCAACTCCCTGACTCACATACTATCATGACCTGCCAGAAAGTCTCATAGCCCCTGCCAACTCCCTGACTCACATACTATCATGACCTGCCAGAAAGTCTCATAGCCCCATGCCAACTCCCTGACTCACATACTATCATGACCTGCCAGAAAGTCTCATAGCCCCATGCCAACTCCCTGACTCACATACTATCATGACCTGCCAGAAAGTCTCATAGCCCCTGCCAACTCCCTGACTCACGTACTATCATGACCTGCCAGAAAGTCTCATAGCCTCAAGCCAACTCCCTGACTCACATACTATCATGACCTGCCAGAAAGTCTCATAGCCCCATGCCAACTCCCTGACTCATATACTATCATGACCTGCCAGAAAGTCTCATAGCTCCATGCCAACTCCCTGACTCACATACTATCATGACCTGCCAGAAAGTCTCATAGCTCCATGCCAACTTCCCTGACTCACGTACTATCATGACCTGCCAGAAAGTCTCATAGCCCCATGCCAACTCCCTGACTCACATACTATCATGACCTGCCAGAAAGTCTCATAGCTCCATGCCAACTCCCCTGACTCATGTACTATCATGACCTGCCAGAAAGTCTCATAGCCCCATGCCAACTTCCTGACTCACATACTATCATGACCTGCCAGAAAGTCTCATAGCCCCATGCCAACTTCCCTGACTCACATACTATCATGACCTGCCAGAAAGTCTCATAGCTCCATGCCAACTCCCCTGACTCATGTACTATCATGACCTGCCAGAAAGTCTCATAGCCCCATGCCAACTTCCTGACTCACATACTATCATGACCTGCCAGAAAGTCTCATAGCCCCATGCCAACTTCCCTGACTCACATACTATCATGACCTGCCAGAAAGTCTCATAGCCCCATGCCAACTCCCTGACTCACATACTATCATGACCTGCCAGAAAGTCTCATAGCTCCATGCCAACTCCCCTGACTAATGTACTATCATGACCTGCCAGAAAGTCTCATAGCCCCATGCCAACTTCCCTGACTCACGTACTATCATGACCTGCCAGAAAGTCTCATAGCCCCATGCCAACTTCCCTGACTCACGTACTATCATGACCTGCCAGAAAGTCTCATAGAGCCATGCCAACTTCCCTGACTCACATACTATCATGACCTGCCAGAAAGTCTCATAGCTCCATGCCAACTCCCTGACTCACATACTATCATGACCTGCCAGAAAGTCTCATAGCCCCATGCCAACTTCCCTGACTCATGTACTATCATGACCTGCCAGAAAGTCTCATAGCTCCATGCCAACTTCCCTGACTCACGTACTATCATGACCTGCCAGAAAGTCTCATAGCCCCATGCCAACTCCCCTGACTCATGTACTATCATGACCTGCCAGAAAGTCTCATAGCTCCATGCCAACTTCCCTGACTCACGTACTATCATGACCTGCCAGAAAGTCTCATAGCTCCATGCCAACTCCCCTGACTCATGTACTATCATGACCTGCATGAAAGTCTCACAGCTCCATGCCAACCCCCCTGACTCACATACTATCATGACCTGCCAGAAAGTCTCATAGCTCCATGCCAACCCCCCTGACTCACGTACTATCATGACCTGCCAGAAAGTCTCATAGCCCCATGCCAACTCCCTGACTCACATACTATCATGACCTGCCAGAAAGTCTCATAGCCCCAAGCCAACTCCCTGACTCACGTACTATCATGACCTGCCAGAAAGTCTCATAGCTCCATGCCAACTTCCCTGACTCACGTACTATCATGACCTGCCAGAAAGTCTCATAGCTCCATGCCAACTCCCCTGACTCATGTACTATCATGACCTGCATGAAAGTCTCACAGCTCCATGCCAACCCCCCTGACTCACATACTATCATGACCTGCCAGAAAGTCTCATAGCTCCATGCCAACCCCCCTGACTCACGTACTATCATGACCTGCCAGAAAGTCTCATAGCCCCATGCCAACTCCCTGACTCACATACTATCATGACCTGCCAGAAAGTCTCATAGCCCCATGCCAACTTCCCTGACTCACATACTATCATGACCTGCCAGAAAGTCTCATAGCCCCATGCCAACTCTCCTGACTAACATCCTATCATGACCTGCCAGAAAGTCTCATAGCCCCATGCCAACTCTCCTGACTAACATACTATCATGACCTGCCAGAAAGTCTCATAGCCCCTGCCAACTCCTTGACTCACGTACTATCATGACCTGCCAGAAAGTCTCATAGCCCCTGCCAACTCCCTGACTCACGTACTATCATGACCTGCCAGAAAGTCTCATAGCCCCAAGCCAACTCCCTGACTCACGTACTATCATGACCTGCCAGAAAGTCTCATAGCCCCATGCCAACTCCCCTGACTCACGTACTATCATGACCTGCCAGAAAGTCTCATAGCCCCATGCCAACTCCCTGACTCACATACTATCATGACCTGCCAGAAAGTATCATAGCCCCATGCCAACTCCCCTGACTCACGTACTATACCAGAAAGTCTCACTGCCCTATGCTAATTCCCCTGAATAATGGGAAGAAGTAGTACTGTTTACTCATTGGTTTCTTAATTTACAATGTCTAAAATTTCAATACCGGATGAGGGTCTTCAAATCCCCAACTGAGCAGATCATTTTTTTCTTTCAAAACTGACCTTGGTTCCCACGACGACCAAACCTAAAATGGGTACCAGGTATTTTCCTGGAAAGTAAAGGCAGCTGGCATGACCTTGACAACATCACCCACTGAGTGCCGATTGGTCTATAAAAATATAGAAAACAGACCTTTTTCCACATCTTTAGACACAATAGGCAAATAGAGCTAGACCTATATTTAAGACCAATCAGCACTTGATGGTTAATGTGGTCAGCATCATGACGGCCACTTTTACTTTCCAGGACTTTGCCCTGCACTCATTTAAGGTTGGTTCAACCTGGCAGCCAAGGTCATTTAAAAAGTCCAGCACCATTTGGATCTGATCCATAACCTTCGGATCTGCAGGCGAGCATCTAGCCACTATACCATGGTGGCCCCTTCGATAAAAACATGGTCTAGCACAATATGCCTAATGTGCCAAAGACAGGAAAACAGCCTTTACTTTACATATGCTGGATGTGAGTCACTTCAAATTAGTACCCACAGTAATGAAATGTGGTAGACAATCTGGAATAACAAAAGATGGAATCAGAAGTAAGATCATGAAGAAAAATAAGTCGGTATAAAACCAATACTGAAATTTGTATAAAGACGGCAAATTAAAATTGTTCACCACTCAGAATGCTCTGAGATGCCATTCCATACTAGGTATATATATAAAGTTGAGAAGGTATAGCCTAGGATAGACCAAGAACAATGTGGAAAGACAACATCAGTGAAACTCCACAACAGTATAAAATCTCCATGACTGAGGCAAACTGAAGAACGAGAGCCAGAAGCCTGTTATCTTCCTTGAGACTCTAAATGATCAAAGAGGAAGTAAAGAAGACAAAGTGATTCACTTAAAACTGTGTCCTCATATTTATTAACTCTATGAGTTCCAAGGAACGCATCATATACATAGAAGCCCAATTAATGCATGATATGTCGATTTTATGTCTCTCTTTACTACCCCTTGGGCCTGTGATGCTAAACCCACTGGGACTCAAAGAGTTAAAGTGACTGGACTTTGATTACCTGACTCGAGTGACTTGAAGACCGAATGTATCCAGGAAGGTAAGAATTTCCTCAACAAGCCTATCTGTCATCTTGTCAAAGTCTGCAAATGTGTCTTGCTGTGAACCAGAAATATGCATGCTTCATAATAAAATCAGGAGCTACCAGAAACAATGAGGTAATATTTCATGACATAACAGTCAAGACAAAAGCTACTTAAAATACACAATGAATCAGAAACAGCCATGAATGAAACATGGGAAAAAAACACAGCTGAAAGAACAACATGACATATCACACATAGGAGAAATGCATTTCAAATGGTTAAATGCAGGAGAAAAAGTTACAGAAGAAGAAGATGATGATGAAGTAGCAGCAGCGGTGGGGTATTAGGAGAAGAAAGAACGAACAAACTTTATTTTCAAAGGGTCACAAACTGGACACGCATGTCCGTCTTACATTCAGACCTTTCAAACACCCATCTTTCACACAGCAGTTGTAGTTTATCATGTTATGTTCATATAATAATATGCATATTATGAATATCAAGCAAAAATACAAAAGCATGGGTGGTAAAATGTAAATGCACGCTTGCGCAACCGCGTACACACATACCCGCATACACACACAAACCCACCCTCTCACTCACACACACATATATGCACCCACATCAACAAACACCTATATACATAATACCCACATACATATACACACACATAAACAAGATAAGGAGGAGGAAGAAAAGGAGGAGAAGAAGAAGAAGAAGATAGAACAAGAAGAAAAAAAAACAACTGTTTAAAATCACAGCACAGACCTGATTTCTTTCGGACATGAGAAACTCCAGCTTAAACCCTGGCAGAGCCATCTCAATGTATGTTCTCACCAGCCTCAAGTCTGCACTGTTGCCTGCAGTAGCAATAATCTCATTAGTTTAGGATCAGACTTCACTTTCACACTTGTTTCAGTAATTATTGTCCTCACTGAGATACACTCATACCTCATTGTAAAGGACAAAAGGGTGGGAAATTGGTCTGATATTGCTGACTGTCCATAGTTATCTAAATGAGTTTTGAGGTTTTGAACAACAGATCAACACCATGGCACACCCATAAGTGCTCCGTTCTACTTCTAACTCAAGTCTGAGTCCGGAGAAGCTCAGCACAGAGCACAGGCTCTGTAGCACTGGCGAGAATTCTGAAATACTTGGGTAGATTTTAAACTCCAAATTTTGCCCGGGCAGCGCCGTTAGATTACTCTTTTCGATTTTCAACTGCCAAGGGATTTTTTACGTGCACAAACAATGCACACGGGTGTCAAATCCCACTACCCAGAGACCAGGGGGAATTACTAGAAGTCCAAATCCCCATGAAAAAATCCCAGCCCTTACCAGGGATTGAACCTGGAACCTCTAGCACTCGAGGCAGACACCATGTCTCGAGACCACGTAGCCCCCTAAATGAGGTTTGAAGTTGGCTAAAATCGATTGTAATATATAAAAAAAAAAAAAAAAAATAAACTTTACATCATGTACAACATTTAATGCTGACATTGTAAAATACCCCTCTGTCGTAAATATATTAATTTAAACTGGCACTGGTTATTCAGAGTGATGCCCCAGCTTCATCCTCAGGGTGCATTTTATTGTAAAATAATAAATAAGATGCTCTACATTTTGTCTGTTGGCTAGAATGCCCTTGCATTGCAACCCAATTGAGGGAAATAAATGAAAAGAAACAACCCCTCCCCCAAACGAAAAAAAAATGAAAGGAAACAACCCCTCCCCCAAACGAAAACCTCCAAAAAGCAGCAACTACAAACATATGAAGAAAAGAAGTAAATAAAATAAAGTTAAAGGTTACCAAGATTACCAAAGTTAAAGGTAAGAGTATCAACTTCAGTGCATCTGGTTTTATCCCATATGGCTCGGTCTCTCTCCACAGAATGGCTAGCCACCTGTCGAGAATGCTGCACAAAGACTGAACACTGCAGCTCCGCCGACAATCCTCAGGGGTCTGCCTAAAAGCTGGACTTGTGAACTGAACAATGCAGGTGTGAAATAAACCCATGACCTTCTAAATGCAAGGCAAACACTTGACCACTTCTCCAGTCAGACCCCAGTGGGATGAATAAGATGCAAAAGACATGTAGTAAGCTACAGGAAATGGTAAAGGACAGGATGGCTTGGTGCCAGGTGAATGAGCTGAGTTGTGTTAAGAACTGACACCACAGCACTGGGATATTATCTTAATCACTCCATCCTCATTTTCAGCAGCCAGCATAGAGCTCCAGTTCTGATGGCACCAATAGTGGTGTGAAGGTAATGCCATCTTGCCTTTCTTCTGAGTGTTCAGTGTCTGCCAGATCCCCAGACTACTCCCCGCTGCACCATTCTCTTCAGATCCTGATGATCAATTAGTGCTTCTGCACCGTGAACTGTGGCCGACATTCTCAATGATCTCAAGGAGGCAGGACGAGAAGATGATTCCAGAGACGACACTGAATTGGCAACACTCAAAAGACTACAAGAACTTCAGGTCAAAAGAGGTGTCGCCAAACATGAACTTCAAAAGAAGAATAGTAAACCAACACAGATCTGGTGTTATCAGTCGCCATATGCTAAAGGATATACTAAAAATGGGATCTGAGCGATTATGGACTTGTCAGATGTGCAATGAGATAATCTGTTGATTAACTAACTGGTCACATGTTACCAAATGGTTTTGACAACATCTATCTTAGCATCAATTGTAGAACCAGCCAATCTATCTGCCTGTTCAATTTTCAACACACCCAAAATAGCTTGAAAAAAATATCCAAAAGGATGCTAACTACACAGGAATTCTGAAGCGATACTTGCTACCTCAGTTGTCAGGGGGTTTAGTGCCCATACTCCATTGGTGAAAAAGGGACAGAAGAAGAAAATTAGAATAAGAAGTGAGAGAAAGTTGTTCATACTCACCATCTAATCCATGAACACAGACAATGAGATGAAGACCCGAACTTCTGTCATCCACATCACTGGGTACATGGAAATATGGAATGTTGGAGGCAAGCACCGGACACTCACTGGAAATACCATCAATGTTTTTTTGGGGATTATACCAGGATGATATTTAAAAACAAAAACAAAACAAGAACAATAACAATAACATATTTTTATACTTCTTGTCACAGTAGTTCGAGGTTTCAGTTTCATTGCAATCGGGTCACCCCACATTTTCTGTTCCTGTGCCAGTGAAAATCAAATGAAATGTCCCTCACATGAAAAAGTGGTGAACAAACAACTAGTCTTGGTACAATCCATAAATGCATGCATGCTGTAAATACATAAGGCAGTTGCTAGAGGTGCCAAAGCCAACAGTCGCCACCAGAAATGCAGTTTGTCATGGATAGAAGTAGTCAGTCATTAAGTTCGTCATACACAGTCAGGGGTCGTGAGGCAGGTGGCAAGGTCACAGCACATGTGTATAAAGGTTATTCACATTGTACTTCTTATATTCCCCTCCAACTCCCTGAGCTTGATAAGTACCAAGAGATATGAGTGCCGTTATATAGTTCATTGCTGACTCAAAGCACATTAACACAGCAATCACCAACAGAAGACAACGAGAATATTTGGCCAGCCCACAACTTAACAGGCTACCCGCCATACTCCTTGTGAAGCCCTATTTAGGGGAAAAAGAATGTACCCACCGGCCCCTGGCAAGCATGCTGTAAAAGGCCGCTCATTAAGGGTTTGCTAAAATCAAATGTACTGGGCCAACACGTCACAGCCTAGACGTAAACAACAACACAGGGTACCAATGTCTCTTTCAACTCTTATATAGTAGCAACAGATTTTACAGGAGATACTAAAGTGATGAAACAATCATAATGCCAAATCATGAATGTTTTACTTTCAAAGAGGCAAGATACAGTAGATGTAGTGACCAATGGGGTAAGCCCCATTTCATTAGTATGTTCTCCTCAGAGTGCCAGCTTTGTAACTACCCCTACGAAACTGTTGAACACCATCTTTTTGAGGGCTCAAAACTGAGCTAGACTAGAAGAATGCTACTCCCTCCGAGACCAGACAAGTGGAACACCTTGTACGGAGGAAAAGTACAGCTTGTGAAAACATGCAAATTCCTCTACATGGTATTGGGCCAAAGGGTGAAAGCTCATGAGCCGCTGGATTGATAACAACAACAACAACAACAACAACAACAACCTTAGTATGTTCTCACCAAATGGTAAAAGTAAGAGAGCACAATACGCTGCAAAGGGGAATCATGGGGTAAATTCATTAACATATTGGGTGCTGCTCAGGACTAAAAGAGTCAAGGGTGAACACTTAAGAAGAAGAAGAAGAAGATTTGTGTACTATTGCTAGAAAGTATTTAGTGAAGTAGATATCTTTTCCTTCAAGAGTCTATTAATATCACTGGCAGGAGTCGCCGTCGCTTGCTTGTGGATCGGAAGGCCGTGGATTCACTCCCTGGTGGAGCCGGACTTATTAAAAAAATTATCTTGACTCCAAGGTCGACCTAGCCTTGAGTCAGAACTGGGTGCAGTCACAGGAAGTAAAGGCGGTCGGCGTAATGCTGACCACATTACCCATCTTGTGCCAATTGGTCTATACAAATATAGGTCTAGCCCTATATGACATTATGCCAAAAGGCTTGGAAAAGGGACCTTCACTTTTTTCTTACATATCAATGGCACATGAGACATATGGTGCTATGCTTATATTTTCATTGACCAATCGGCTCTTGCAGTTTCCACAGGAACAAATACCTGGCAGCTTTTTGTGGCTAGGTTTGTCTCACTACCCACTAAGCAGAAACTGATGGTATCACAAATTTTTGTGGTGAGAATTCTTCTTCTTCTTTGCGTTCACCAAGCTGTAATCTCCAGCAAAACAATTCGGCTGCATCACCCCTTCATAGACCTTTCTGGACTTTTGGTCTTGTTCCAGAGTTCTGTGAGTGCATTCGTTTTACAGTTTACAGATGTGGCTTATTTTCAAACTGTTGGCTCTTTGCATCTCAGGCAGATGCGAAGGAAATATCCATAATAAGTCATCTTTTACGACAAGCTAGTTAAAGAGGGCGGCGAGTCTATTGTTCCCCCCTCCCCCAAATGGGACCCCTAAACACCCATGGGAAGTGAGAATTCTACTTCAAGCACAATTATTCTGAGGCTTCAAAGTCTAAAGAATTACCAATAAACTACCGGCATTCATTAAATGGTGGCTGCATAAAAAGGAAGAAATAAAAGGGTATGACAGAATCACTGATGTGGAGCTCATGGGAAAAACTAAACAAATTCCAACAAATCAAGAAGTGAGGAAAAGAAACTGGTGCTGGATATGTTGAGTGTCGAATTAAAAACACACTTCATAGCACTCGGGACACTCCCATAAGCACTCTGTCCCCATCGTCAGCAGCATGTAGAGAGTTCCAATTCAGATGGTACCAGTAACTGTTGGCGCTGGGCAAAAGACACTAATGCAGAATAGAGCACACCTTCAAAAACTGATAACTGTAAACAAGAATCCTTTTGTCTGGTAATCTGGTAATCTTAGTTTCAGCTTCATAGCAAACGGGTCATCCCATAGTTGCTCTGCTTCTGTTCCAACGAAAAACACACTAAATGTTTATCACAGTTCAATTGAAATCTGCAGCTCACAGTGTCATGCCATGCACTCAACTCAGAAGCTGTGCAACGAAACTATATCCTTCGAGTCTACAAATGGAGCAAAAATGCAACGGCCACCGTCTGGCAGAGGCACACACAAAATTTGCCATTGCTAAAAGAAGTGGCCGTGCCTAGCGTCCATTTTGACCTGAAGCATCATGTGAGGGTTAATACCTTTTGTGTTAACCATAGGGCAAAAGAGATAAGGAAAGGATAAAACACAGTGAGAAGAGTTAGAGGCAGAGTTGTTGAAGGCTTCTTTGCTATGAAGCAAAATAAATCTTGACCTAAAACTGGCTATTTCATCAACATCAAATTTTAGTGTGGATAGCAGTGTTTTGTAAAACTGTTACACTCAACAATTCATTCAAATGTTATGATGCCCAAATCCCTCCCCCCCTCACACACACACACACACAAATGAACAAACAAGTTACCTGCAAAGAAAACCAGGAAAATCCATCTCCAGCTTGAGGTTCTCTCTCAACTGTACAAAGCTGTAAGATTACAGCAAGGGCAATTATACACATTACAATAGTGAGAAAATAATATACAATTCTTGGGCGGCTTTGTGGCTTAGACATTACTGAGCACATTTTGCAATCCGTGATGTATCAGAGTTAGACTTTTCATGACTGGCGGTTGAGAAAAAACTGACCTCGAGCACCAGCAGGCTCTATGCAGAATTCCTGCCTCCTGTCACATCTTCCTGCACCAAGGATAAATGCCCTTATCGGCCTGAACCGAGCAGGCAGGGGATCTTGGAATTAGGGCCTCTCTCTATAGATACAGTGTCCAGAAACTCTCTCATCAGCATGGATAATAAACTCAACTGGAATATGGGTGAAGTCTGCTGGCTGGGATCCTACTAAATGACAATCATTGGTTCAAACATTTGTCGGCCTTGAGTCCTACTACATGACAAACCCTGGTTGAAAGGTCTGTTGACCGAGAGTCCATCTAAGAGTCTACTGAAGTCCATCAAGTGAACAATTGTACGACATGTCCAGATGTCATTTACTCAAAGATCAAACTGTATGACACAAAAAAGGTTCAAACATCTGATATTATTAGTCACATTTGCCAGAGTGTAATTACCATACAGAAAAGCCAGGAATAATGCATGCTTCCCATAAATGCCGCAAATAGTGCCTTCCAGCATCCACATGAAAGGTACCAATGGTGAACAGAGAGAAGTCGAAGATGCTCAGGAAAAGATGCATATTTTGTGTAGGTAATCAGTCTCGGGTCTGTGGACTATATTCCTGGGGATCCCTAAAGGGTGGAGCCTGTAACAAGTAGAAGGCTCCATAAAGGGATGTGAGATTAGGCAGTCATGTGCAGGACGTGAAGATGCCTTGGGCGAGCCTAGTACCAGAGTGCTTTGTATCAGCTCTGCATTTACGGAAGCCTCCATGGATGGCAGAGTATGCCCATGCCCTGCCCCTGCCTTTCCCTGAACTGAGACCTGCCCAGGTTCATTCCATGAATCTGAGTTCTCCATGCTTCTGCAGATACATGGATGGCACAGCGGTTATTCCTGGGACTTAATTCAACTCATGCTGACCCTAACTTCACCTCTGTGCACCAGGTCTTGCCCGACAATTCTTGTGATGATTGCTGACTCAGATATCGTTGACCTTTTTCATGATTTCCTTGGCCAACATACCTATTCTCAATTCATCACATTCAACACACAACAGCTATGCAGTAGTTTGTTTATATATATTTATAGTAAGTAAGTAAGTAAAGGACCTTTCTTTCAAGTGCATTGGGCATAAAGACCTATATTTATAGACCAATTGGCACTACACCACACCGACCACCTTTACTTCTCAGGACTTTACCAGGTACCCATTTTAGGCTGGGTCGAACTGGGAGCCAAGGTCATTTTTGAAAAAGTCCAGTTCTATTAGGACTTTAACCCATGACTTTAAGATCCACATGTGAGAGTCTAGCTGCTACGATACAGCGGCTCCAAAATTGTATAGTAGTCGCGGGAAACCTCTTTTCTCTGCCAAGAGTCATTTGACTATTTATTACATCATAGCGGGTGCTAAACAAAATTATCAACGCAAAATTTAGCCTGCTAAAGTTGGTCAAACTAGGGGGCTGCGTGGTCTGTATGTATGGTGTCTGCCTCGAGTGCTAGAGGTTCCGGGTTCAATCCCCGGTAAGGGCTGGGATTTTTTCATGTGGGCTTGGACTTCTAGGAATTCCCCCGGTCTCTGGGTAGTGAGATCAGACGTCCGTGAGCATTGTTGTGCATTAAAAAAAATTCCCTTGGAAGTTGGAAATTAAAAAAAGTAGCCTAACGGCGCTGCCCTGGCAAAAATTTTGAGTTACAAATCTACCCAAAGTATTTCAGGATCCTCGCCGGTGCTACAGATCCTGTGCACTGTGCTGAGATTTCTCAGACTCAGACTTGAATTAGAAGAAGAATGGAGCACTTATGGGTTACTACCCGTGTGCCATGATGTTGATCCGTTGTTCAAATCTCAAATCCATACTGTAGTAGGACAAAATGATAAAATAACTGCCCCTCACATCCCCCATCCTCACCAACACTGCAGCTCTGAAATGGATCGCAGAGGAATTATAATGTCTAATTCTCAGTCAGTATTGCAGGAAGTTCAAAATGGACGAATGTGGCATGAGTGCATTACAGGCATCAGCACATCAACATTACAGGGACTCATAGGGATATAGATGAAGGAGTGTGAGGGAATTAAAGAGTGGGTATTTTGGCTTCAGTAACACTGGTATTGGACAAAGGAGACATTCTGAAGACCAATTATGAATTAATGCTGAGTGAATAAAAAACCATGTAAAAGAGTTGAGCTGAGCTGATTCAAGAACTGACATCACAGCACGGGGTATTCTCATAAGCGCTCCATCCCCATCTTCAGCAGCCAGTGAAGAGTTCCGATACTAATTGTGCCAGCAGCATTTTGATTAAACGTCCGTCTTGCCTTTCCTGTGAGCTTCAAGCATCTGCCAGAACCTCTCGTCACTCCCCCTTGCATCAATCTCACCAGACTGTGGTGATCCATCTGCTCCTCCGATCTGCACACGCTCTCCAACAAGGCACCAACCACGTCTGTCTTATCATGCATCAGTATTCCACCAAGTTGTGCAGAGCCAGCCAGTATGTCCACCTGTTAATTTCCCAACACAGGCGTATACATGTACAAGAATGTGTCATGAGTTGTCCACAAGGAAGGACAGATGAGAGGAAGAGAACAACATGTGTATAATCAGTATGCTACTGGAACAGTTAGCACCTACACCTTAAGACACCTGCTGCCAGAGACAGTATCTACAGGGATGCCCCGTTTGCTCTGATGTCGATTCTTAAACCAGTAGTCTGTTATCACCCTCCAACTTTGTGACCAGTGGGTACATGGATATACTCAACTGTCACGGCATGTGATTAAGCCGCCCCCCCCCCCTCCCCAAAAAAAAAATTTCTTACGTCTCTTGGGCAGTGGCTCAAGAAACACACATTTGTCTTGTTCCCCCCACCCCGAATTCTTCCATGTAAATGTTCATCAATTGTCTCAGGCATTTGTTTACGAATGCATTTAACTTTCAGTCCATGTCTGTCATGTGATAAAGACAGGCCTAAAATTTCTGAAGACTCATTACGGCTGACCTTCATAGTGGAGCTGTCCCTTGATAAATATGAAAAGGTCAGAGAAAAGGCTTTAAAAAACAAGGGTGAAGTTAGGAGAAAGCAAAAATATGCCCTAAACTTCGTGTTTGTTTTAAAAAAAACTTTATATTTACTTTGTTGTTCGGTGACCAAAAATCGAAGTCAGCCGGGGCAGTCCAGGTTTCAGTGACTGGGATAACTCCGGGTAAGAAGATGAAGATGTCAAGAGTGCTCTCCTCTTCTCATTTCCATCAATACTGGCAACAGTGCTGAAATAAAACCACATAATGCTAATTAACATCTAATTCTCAAATATGGTTGCTGAGACTCAAATATTATCATACTGCAGTAAAAGATAGACTATGACACAAAAACTCTGAGGACGAAAGAAATTAAATTTATTCAATTATCTTGTATTCTCTGTAGCAAAGCCAGAAAGAAAACTGCCGATAGAGATGTCTGGCGATCTCTCCAGCAAACCTCTACACCCTAAGGTAGAAGAGGAGCGACTAAGTAAGTAAGTATTTTCTGTAGCAATAATAAATCTATGCCCCCTTGCTAGGCTTGTCATAACTTTACAAGAGCCCCAGTGGCCAGGACGTTCCAGGGTAACCCAGGATGGCCTTCAAAGCTACAGTAGCTGCCCCAATTCTAGCAATCCTATACTTTGTCCTGTTTACCACTCCTCAGGATCTGGGTTTGTAACCATGGAAATGAGATATCTAAGAAGGGCTGCTGGACTGACCATAAGAGATAAAATCAGGAATGAGGTCGGAAGATTTAAAAAAAAAAAAAATTTGCACAGAACCAACTCTAAATGACAGCAAATGAAATGGTTTGTCCATTCAAACCAAGGACCGAGAACAGTGGAAGACATGAGCATCTATGCTGCTGGGGAAGGGCAAATGAGGATGATGCTCTTCCCCATTTATTCACCTGTCTCTGTCTAACTCTCTGTTCATTAATGTTTAGGATTTCTTTTATTTCTTTTGCTCCAATGAACTGAAGAATAGAACCACTGCTATTTAACAAGCATGCTGTAAAAGACAAACAAGTAAGGGTGTGCTGAAATCGGAAATGTTGGGCCGAAAGGCTAAGAAATTGCATTCTAGCTGTAAACTGCAAAATAACTTGTCAACCATCATATTAAAGGAGATTCAAAGAAAGAAAGAAAAAAACCACCATAACTTTCAGTAGCAATGTTTTCTCAACTTCCACCATTATCATGGTTTTTGGTAAAATATGACTTTCGGCCCACAAGGATGTTTCTGTAAAATAAGTACTACAGATAATGTTTAGTACAGGAAGAGGAGGCAGAGATGGAGGAGGAGGAGGAGAAGAAGAGGAAAAAAAGAAAAAAGAAGAAAAAGAAGAAGAAGAAGAAGAAGAAGAAGAAGAAGAAGAAGAAGAAGAAGAAGAAGAAGAAAAAAGAAGAAGCAGTAGCAGCTGCAAAGGAGAAGAGGAATAATATGAAGAATAAAAGAAGAAGAAATCAATGACAGTATATATTGTACCAACCTAAGCAATCTGTTCTTGAGATTCCTTGTGCACATTCACTGGGATCTCTTCAGAGTTCTTGAGTATATCTGAGTCGCTAGCTGCTCTATGACCGGTGAAAGAGTTGGTTTCTGAAGTGTTTGTTAACTCACTGGCTGGTGAATTTATTTCTTGAGTATCTACAAAACAATAAATGTACAAGTTGAAATGGGTGGTCTTCATAATGTCTGTATAAAGCAGCAATGTTTTATTAAAGCTGCGGCCTGATTTTTGTTCCGGTGTCCGTGGCTTAGGTGTTGCGAGTTCGACTCGTAATTCCAACGCACCGCGGTCGAAACCCACTGCCGGCTGCGTGGATCTTTATCCTGGTATGGGGCGTTGCAGGTTCACCCAGCCTAAAATGGGTACCAGGATGTATGTCCTGGGAAAGTAAAAACGGCCAACGTAATGCTGACCACATTACCCACCTAGTGCTGATTCTTCTTCTCTTCTTTCTTTTGTCAAAATCTGCTTGTGCCGCTAGGCGTCGCAGTCTATCAGATGATCGGCAACCGAGCCAGGGCGCGCTCAGTCGCTTCATATGCCGTGATGTTATGAAGTCTCAAGTTGTCCGTGACTCCTTCAATCCATCTTCTTCTTGGTCTTCCCCTGCCTCTTGGTGTTTTGATTTTCATGTTGTATGCTCTTGATGCTGGCATCGTTGGTTCCATTCTCATTAGGTGACCAAACCATTTCCTTCTTTGCTTCTCAATAAATTTAACGATGGGTATGGTTCCAATAGTTCTTGTAATCACATCGTTTCTGACTCGATCTCTTCTGGTTTTATTCGCAGCCATTCTCAAACATCTCATTTCACAGGTGGTTAGTCTTCTCTCGTGTTCTTTTGTTAATGTCCAAGTCTGACATTGATAACCTAATGTCGGTATAAAGATTGTATTTATAATTTGTCTTTTTATCTCAGCTGGGACAGCAGGGTGTTTTAAAATTGGGGCAAGCTGGTATGCGACATTGTTGGCTTGTTGGATTTTTGCTTCGATCTCTCTGTCTATTTTACCATTGGATGTAAAGATACTTCCCAAGTATTTAAATTCTTGCACTTGTTTTAGGCTGTGATCTAGAATCTTTATGTCGATGGTCTGTTGCTCTCTACTTATGCTCATGACTTCTGTCTTTTCAGTATTGATCTTCATATGATGCTTGAGGCAACTGTCGTGTAGTAAGTTTATGTGGTCTTGCAGCTGTTTACTATCACTGTGAAATAGGCATTGATCGTCGGCAAAGAGCAGCTCATTGAAGTCCTCCTGTTTATCGACATCTGTTGGTATTATGTCTATTTTATTAATATTGTCCATAAATATTATGAAAAGTAAAGGTGATAATATACAACCTTGTCTTACTCCTGATGTTACTGGGAACCAGTCTGTGATGCCAGCTCTTGTTCTAATGGCGCTTTCACTTTGTCTATAAATAGCCCTAACACAATCTAAAATTGTTCCATTTATACCGTAGTTTTCGAGAACTTTCCATAATAAATTCCTGTTTACTCTATCGAAAGCTTTTTCTTGATCTATGAAAGCGATGTTCATTTGATGTCTGTGTTCTATTGTCTTTTCGCTAACTTGCTGATTGGTCTGTAAAAATATGGGTGCTCTTCCCGTATGCCCAATGCCCCTAAAGGCGTGAAAAGGGATCTTTACTTTCTTAAGTTATTTTTACTGTTTTTTTGTTGCTATTGTTGTTCTATCCAAGACTTGTCCTCCCTCCTTATTCACAAGAATTTGTTCAGCTCACTCCCAAAGTTGTACTTTAGTTACTTGTTATCGACATCCCAGCACATTTGTGCTCCATCCTTCGATGCAGCATCTTAGTTTCTCCATGCTCAACGTGCCCAGTGGGGGTTGACTGGCACAACTTTCTTCACGCCACAATGGTTTCTATATTTCTGTTTCTCATTTAATACCAATTTCCAACAGGTGACCCATCATCTCTGCCTCCTTTGTCTCAACAACCCTGGAACTCAGCACATTCAATGTCTGCACGTCCAGACATGCTCCTCAACACTAACCACTGCAGACACAGCTAGTCTCTGACTGCCTTCAGTCTGCCTGCAAGGAAGCAGATTTTAGTACCTTTCTACTCTGAGTGGGTTCCAGGACCCCATGCAGCCTAGCTGTAAACCACAACACAACATGCCAACTATCCTTTTAGGGGAAAAACAGAGGAAGGACCTCATTTTATCTTGTTTTTACTTGCTGACCTTTGTGATTAAAGTTACAAAGAACTGCATTTCATGTTCTCAGAAACTGCACTCTTTTCTGTGAGGCAAGTTTCTTTTTCTGGCTATAAACTAATTCTTCTTCTTTTTGTAGTTCTTGCTGTGTGGTGTTAGTGATCATGTCTGTTTTCTAGACCAGAAACCAAGAAACATCATCTCCACAGAGACTACTGCAGAGATCTTATTCCCTTATTGAAGCTCAGAAACAGGAGATGGGGGTAGGAGGTTAGATTAGATTAAATTAGATTAGATTAGATTAGATTAGATTAGATTAGATTAGATTAGATAGATAGATAGATAGATAGATAGATAGATAGATAGATAGATAGATAGATAGATAGATAGATAGATAGATAGATAGATAGATAGATAGATAGATAGATAGATAGATAGATAGATAGATAGATAGATAGATAGATAGATAGATAGATAGATAGATAGATAGATAGATAGATAGATAGATAGATAGATAGATAGATAGATAGATAGATAGATAGATAGATAGATAGATAGATAGATAGATAGATAGATAGATAGATAGATAGATAGATAGATAGATAGATAGATAGATAGATAGATAGATAGATAGATAGATAGATAGATAGATAGATAGATAGATAGAGAGAGAGAGAGACAGGAAACAGATGAGGAAGAGAGGGAGGCTAGAGGTAGAGAGGGGCAGGGAAATAGGAGAAAGAGAAGGGCAGAGAGACAGGTGAAAAAGAGAGTGAGAGCAAGGAAACAAAAATAGAGAAAGAGAGTGAGAGTACAGAAACAGAGAGAAAGAGAACACATTCAACAAGATATTCACAAAACTCACCAATCAATTCCTTCTGTGACTTGCTATACTCCTCCTTCAACAATTCTAACACAGTCATCTTCTGACCCATATCTACCAATGGCCACCCATTGCTTGATGAAGCAGCTGCCGATGCTGTGGTAGACACAGACAGATCTGTGTCAGAATTGGGCCGCACACTTGTCACAATGGCAGAGGAAGATCCTGAGGAGTTGATCTCTTCCTGAGAAGAAATCTCACTGCCTAAGGCACTATCACTTATTTTCGAATCACTAGTTCTGGAGGTGTCACTAACCTTGTCCATCAAAGGCAACTGTGACTCATTATCATGTGAAAATGAAGCCTGCGATGAGGTGTCTGGTGTTGGTACTCGTTTATCACTAGACAATTGGGAACCACTAAAATCATGAATGTATGTGCTCAAAGGATCATCAAATCCATTGGGGAGATTTGTGTCTTCATCACTGAAATCCTCCTTTGATGACACAGGGGCTGTCAATGTTTCTGACACCGTCGGTTCCTTCTCCCCAAGAGATTGACTAATGTCATCAGCCAGGTGGTTAAAGTCTTTTTTAGTCAAGTTTGGGAGATCACCAGCAGCATTTTTGAGTATAGGGGGAAAAGGCAACACTGTACTGCTGGACTGATCACTGGAACTTGATGAATCTTGAATGACGTTCACACTCAATGATTTAACAATAGAATCCTTCATTGGAACAATGGGAGGTTTGGAAGTCACAGCTAAAGAGGAATCGCTGGAGGAAGGTGTATGTTTTAAATAAATACAAGGGCTCTGGGCCAGGGTTGTAGAGCTGCGAGTCAATGCATTGCCTGACTTGTTATTAAACGAAGAACCTGATGCTTCAGATGTACTGATTACACCAGACACACGGGAACCGGTGACTGATCCAGGATTAGCTGGTACATGATGTTCGCTGTCCACTTTTAAACAAGCGTTTGGAAATCTGGAAGAGGGAGGCAAGCTGTAAGTTCTTTCTAGATGGCCTGCAGCTGTTGGATCTGGAAAGCAGAAATACAAACAATAAATCAATATGATCAATGTCGGCTACTGACTCATCTGAGTTTATACAATGATTCAATAAATCCATAAATCAATTATCCTGTTGTGGCATTATGATCAAACAGGACTCATAGTCTAGTTCTCTATTCTATTTTATTTTTGGAATGGCTTCCTATTATTAAGTTTCTGTACCATATTTGTTTCTGCATGATAGGGGAGCTGACCCATGACCAACCCTCCTTCTTTCTCATCCAGGCTTTGGACCGGCAATAATGGAGATGATGTACTGATTAGAACCAGAAATTTCAGCCAAGGTTTACAGCCCATGAACTCTAAGAAGAAGAAGAAGAATATTCTGTCTACTTCAAATAATCAATCTGATGCCATTTCCCTATGAAGATTGTCAGCAACAGATCTCCAGCATGCTCTGCCATTCACACAGAATTTACACTCTCTCAGACTGCAGTGTTTCCACCTCTTGATGTTATCCTCCCACATGTACTGGTGTTGGTCTCTTGCTGGCGTGACTTTAACTTTTTCCTCCAGTACGGTTTTTACAAAGTGTTATCTCTTTTGAATGGCCAGCATATTTTGCCTGTCTCTGTTTATTTCATTCGGCAACTCTTCTTATCCCATTTTTTTGGAACCTCTGCTTCCATGAAATACAATCTCGAGGGACTCTATGATTGTCAAATTACTTTCTCACTGTTCAATTCTGTGCATCATACAGTAGGGTTGCTATACATAACATTTGACGATTCTCAGTTTTAATGGGCAATTTCTCCTTACGTGTCTGTCATTGTCGTACAGTGTTGAAAATCTTCAACTTTCAAATGAAATCCTTTCTTTCATTCCAATAATGACAATTTATTCCATCTTTATTTTAATATCAGTATTATCCTAATGTGGGTTCTGGGACCCCACTGTGCGGAAAACAAGAATAAACCCACTGACTCCCCAACAAGCATGTTGCAAGAGTCGACTAATTGGCGGTTTCCATCGAAGTCAGAGTGCATCAGCCTGAGAGGCAAAGAACCAACGTCTGTATACAAATAAGCCAGATCTGTAAAATAGATGTGCACACTACAGTCAGGCTCTGGGACAATTCCGGAGGTGGATGAACAACTAGAACTTTCCGCCAGAGACTGCAGCTAGTGAATGTAAAGAAGATATCACTATTAAAAGGTATGGCGTCCATGTCAGACCTATGAAAATGAGAGGGATGTGCAGGTTTTCCACTAACCGGGTACCACTGCTTTAGTGATAATCCAAGGTTTGCATATAAAATATATTTGATAATGCAGACTAGCAATCTAATAAGGATTTTCAGAAAATAAGAAAACATGCTTGGAACTAACCACATGCACCAAGCTACAAAAGTTTAAAACAAAGCAACAAAACTTCAATCCCCAACAGTTCTGCCATGTGTGGCTGATTATCTTAGTGTCTACGATTAGCTAAGTATATTTTTAAAAAAAATTACATCTTTTAAAGACTACGGCTGTCAAAATATAAATTATGTATGTCATTACACAAGAACGAAGACCTATTTTATACAATTTACATAACAATCTGATAGTATACTTCTACTCTACTCTATGATAGTACACTACTATACTATAATGATATACTTCTATTCACCTTTATGACGGTATACTTCTGTTCTATAGTATGCTTCTACTTTATGATAGTATATACATCTACTCCATAATGCTATACTTCTACTCTACTATGGTATACTACTGCAGTATAATGGTATACTTCTACTTTATGATGTAATACTTCTATACTTCTACTCTCTGATGGTATACATCTACTCTATAATGATATACAACTACTTTATCATGCTATACTTGTACTCTCTGATGGTATACTTCTGCTCTACATTGATTTACAGATACTTTATAATGCTAAAGGTCTACTCTCTGATTGTACACTTTTATTGTATAATGATTAGAGCTATACTGAACATTCACTTCGTGGCCGAATAGTGGACCTAATAACTATTCTGTATTTGGCCGAATACTTGCGATCGGGCCGAATACGAATAGTGGTTACCTTACACCCGATTCTGCACACAAGGCCTTAATGCTGACAACATGGAACAATTGATTTTGCTAAAAGCTAAGCAGCTTTCATGCATTAACTAAGCTGTAAGTTACAATTAACAAGTTTAGTTACTTGTTATAATACTTAGAATACTTTCATTCCTAGTATTAGTTACCACAGACTGACTGAAGGATGCAAAACATAAAATGCTTTTAAATGTTTACTATTCTGTACTACATTTTTTGAAGTAAAAGTTCAGTGTACATTTGACATTTTGAATGTTTTTAAATTTATTTATATACTATCACCTATTCGGTACAGCTCTAATAATGATATACATCTACTTTATAATGCTATACTTCTACTCTATTATGGTATACGAGGAAAAGTTACAAATGGTTGTTTAAAAAAAACTAAAGGCGATAACAATGAAAACCATTAATTTTTTTCACACACACTGTCCCTTTATTTTTTCTATGTAATTTCCACCAACACTGAAGTCTCATCATTTTATCAGTCCTCCCAAACTTTGCTGCATAGAACTGTGTGCTCTGTTTTCTAAACCAGATTTTCACTTCACATTAACTTCTGCATCATTCACTAAATGTCTCCTGCCAAGGTGGGTTTTCAGTGGACCAAAAAGGTGGAAATCGCTAGGGGCTTAATTGGGGCTGCAAGGTAGATGTTCCAGAAGTTTTCACCCTAGATGGTTAATTTTCTCCTGAGTTAACCCAGCCGTATGTGGTCTGGCATTGTCATGAAGGAGCAGTACTCCTCTAGTCAGCAGGCCTGGACTTTTTTTTGAATAGCATAATGAAGCATTGATAGAACAGTATGAATCAGCATTCATATTGTCACCTCTTTTTTTTAAAAACTGGTTCCAAGCACTCCTTGACAATCCCAGAACACTGTCAGCATAATCTTCCTCCGCAATCTGTTGCAATCTCAGCAAGACAAACTAGATCCAACTTCAAAAACAATTTTAGAGCGTCCATGAGACATTTTTTGTTTTACCCAGCTATGCATCGCTTTACAGGATAAACATATGTCAGCATAAACAGGAAGCATTTCCTTATGAATGTCCTTATCCCCCCCCCCCCCCCCCCCCTCAAAGCACAACAGCACCTTTTTTTTTTGAAGGTACACTCCATAAGTACAGGCCATTTTGTTTCTGTGTTGCAAATGCACATGCAACACCTAGCACCACCTTATGATGGAGACATAAAGTTTGATGTTGCTTACACCTAATGACACATTTGTTTAGTTTACCACCAACTACATTTTCATGCCATCCCATATCCATTTGTGACTTACTTATTGACTTCCTCTCGTACTACTGCAGTACAATGGTGTACTTGTACCTATGATGCAATACATCTACTCTGTGATGGTATACTTCTACTCTGGGATGGTATACTTGGATGGTATACTTCTACTCTATAATGATATACAACTACTTTATAATGCCATACTTCTACACTGTGATAGTATACATCTACTCTATAATGATAAACAACTACTTTATAATGCTATTCATTTACTGTTTGATGGTATACTTCTACTCTATAATGATATACATCTACTTTATTATGCTATATGTCTACTCTTTAATGGTATGTATACCTTCACTTGCCTATAACATTTATCACATCTTAAAACACTATATTAAATTGTTGATCCTGATCATATTTTCCTATGTTACAAAGAAACCAAACAACCCCTCATTATGCTTGCTGAATAATGAATAAAGGATTCGAATGGACTGCACCTGTAAATGAAACAGTGTCTGAAACAGGAATCTTTCTGTAACCAATCAGCGTGACCCTTGACCCAGGTGTCGACGCATTCTCAAGCTTTGAGCTGGCTGCCTCTGAATTCCTGCAGCGATAGGAAGTTGGTCGCTTTAGTCCTTCTGGTTTCATATTCCTTATAAACTTCTTCTTCGATGACCGCTTCCTGAGCTGCGGGGAAGCACTCTGATCACTGACCAGTGAAGAGGAGTTTGAGGTTGAAAGATCTCTAGAGTAAAATATCATGCTTCCATTGGAGATAGTTGGAACTGCTTTCAGATACACCTCTGTGCCAGGAAGAAAAATGTAGGAGAACAGGGTTTATAAAACAGCAGTGCTTAAATAATAGATTATTCAGGAGTTTAAAAAAAAAAGAAGACGGATTTTATTTCGCCAGTTTCTCTACCATCTGGTTTGATTCTCTCTGAATCTTGGCTGGGCAAATTTGAATACTTACCCAGGTGAGTCAGTTCTGGTATTTGGTCAAAGCAATTACATTTTGGTGGTGTAGTGGCTATTTGCTTGTCTGCTTCCTGAAGGTTGTGAGTTTAAATCTGTACTTAGCCAGAATGTTTTCAAAAATGACACACACACACACCCCCCCCCCCCCCCCCCCCCCCAGGTTGAGGCTCCCAGCCCAGGTTGACACAGTTTAAAATAGGCATCAAGTAAATTCCTGGCTAAATGTAGATCACATCATTCATCACATCCCAGTTGTCTACACAAAATATCAGTCTAAGCATCATATACCTGATATGTTACTGGGGTGAATATGATCTACTTTTATATTTTAGGCTAGGATCACCAAGGACAGGGGTTTTCAACCCCTCGTAAAAAAGGGAGGGGGGTGGGGTTCAAGAGTGCATCAAGCAATTTTGAAACTGATTCATTTGTAACTGTGATAATTTGCCAGCCTGATGTTGGCAGTGATCTCTATTGTGCCATGTCTGTCCAACATTACACTAAAGATAGCACATACCATGAAGATAAAACAGTGTCAACCATCCCATTGATTTCTGGACACAAATTACAAGCTGGTGATCGGTTTTGTAATGTTATCTGACACTTTAACTATGTGGATATATTTTCCAGGTTTTCGTTAACACTGCTTGGGGGTCAGTTTTGCTTTCCTCATTAATCAAATTGTTTCCTTTTTTAAAAATTTGGTGAGGATCTTAGCATACATTCAAGGAGGAGCTGCCTGAAAAAGGTTGAAAATCACTGATCTAGGAGCTCGTGTCAATAGAAACATTTCCTATCTCAAAGGAGATTCGAACCCACAAACTTCATTGTATCACTTTACCTCTATAGAACAAGTAAAACAAATACATCATGCCTTTTATAAAGTTATATTAACAATGCAAATGAACATATTACTGAGAAGAAAATGACGACCATAACCACAATTCTGAAACTTTCACCAAATTAAAAAAATAGAAATAAAAAAGTTCAAAATGTGAAAACCAAATAGATCTGTAAATTCTCTTACAATATTACTTTTAACTTATATCCCTGGTACTATTGACTTTTATTAAGTTTACTCTAAATTATCATTTTAATTACCTGATTCATTGTGGACTGAACAATTTCTGTCTGTCAGTTAGTTAGTTAGTTGGTTAAGAGATTATCCTCAACGCACATCAAACCATTCAGTCCATAAGTGCTCAGATCCCCTCCTCAGTAAACCTGCAGCATCTAGCGGTTGGTGACACCAGTCCTGGGCTATCCTCCGAATAATGGTCCCAAATTATCGAGGCTGAAAATATACCCTAACAGGGCCTCAGTCATGTGTCAATTGTGCACTTCCGGCGACTTAAATTGCGCACTTCTGATGACTTCCGCCACCGCCGAGAGTATCCCCCATGCCGCTCACGCGGCGTGGATTGGAACTAAACTAGATGGCTGGAACTCACGAGCAGCAGCTATCGCATCTACTGCAGCTTCCTTCATTTTATTTGCTCATTGGTCCCAGCCATCTAGTCGCTCTCGGTGGTGGCAGTATAGTCCCAGGAAGTTCGCAATTCGGTGGTGGTGGTATAGTCCCCGGAAGTCCACAACTGACACGTGACTGAGGCCCCATTAGGGTATATTTTCGGCCTCGATAATTTGGGATCGTTATTCGGAGGATAGCCCCAGTTCTGTGTTGGTTTCTTATTCTTCATTGGCTTCCAGTATAGTGCTTTGGTCACACGCATTTTTACATGATATTGTAGTCTGGTCATGATTGCAGACACAGTCATCGACTGGTTCTAGCAAAAGTCTCACTTCTTGTAGAGATTTCAGTATATCAGCATGATCAATGGCATGTCCAGCCCACTTTACATGCAAGCCTATCAGCCTGCTCATCTCCCTGCACACCTGAGTGCCCTGGCACAAATATGCAACTTAAATGTGACGGCCTAAGAGACTCAGACCACTGACTTCGGACAGCCCATCTCTATTTTCCTGAGCAAACTCATTGAGTCACCAAGAAAACATGCGTGGGTAAAAGTCTGCATCTCCAGCTATGTTATTCCTTTGGTCACTGCAATGACCCCGTTAATCAGACTACTTGTAGCCAAGGCAGAAGAACCAGAATTCTGCTTCACAATTTTAACTCCAATGTGAGCAGTAAAAGTCCACTATATGATTCATTCCAACACCACTTTTTATATTTCTATTTAAATAAACCAATACTCTGATTCACAGACCAAAAAATATTTGTAAAAACAAGCTTATCACCAAAAAATGAAAAGAAATACTTGGTAACTATACAAAACATACAAATACAACCCACTTAAAAGTAGATTACATATGGCATGATTCACCAAACCAACTAAAACATACTCACGTGGGAGTTGTGCTTTGGGGTCACAAAATATGTCTTCAAAAATGACAGGCAAAGAGTTCTCGTCCCCATCTAGTTCCACACATTCCACAGGCAAAGAGGGCAGGTTGCAGAAGTATGCTGAGTTTTTCACTATGCTGGCTAAAGACGAGTGTCCATGAAAGCTGAAGAGATGAAGAAAATAATTATATCTAGTTTCATAGTAATAATTTTAAAGAAAATACAACAGAACAATAGATGCTTGTCTGTTGGCAAGAAGGTCTATGGGTCAAATTGATATCATCCCTGTGTGGGTTCCAGGGCCCCATTCTGAGAGGAAAAGACCCACTGTCTCCCTAAGGAGCATGTCATAAAAGGCAAGTAATTAGAAAATTTTCCTCCAAAGTGAGCAAATCTGCCTGAGAGGTGAATGAACTAACAGTCTACACACAAGTAAGCCAGATCTGTAAAACAGATGTGCATGCAAAAGTCAAGTTCTGGAACAAGGCTAAAGTCTAGAAGTGAACAAACAACCAGAACTTTCTTTCAAAGTGAAGGCTAAGAAGAAGATGAAGACATTTTTAAAATTTCAAAAATGACCCAAGTACCCATGTCAACCCAGCCTAAAATGGGTACCAGGAAATATCCTTTAAAGTAAAGGTCACTGGCAGGATGTTGATCAAATCTTCCATCAAGTGCCAATTGGTCTATACAGATATAAGCCCAGAACTATATAGACAAAGCCAAAGGAGTGAAAACGGCTCTTGCCTTTCTGTTACTTTCATTAATTACCCTGTTGTGTCATTACATGTCATTTAAGGCTAGCAGTCTATTCCCCCATTTGGTTCTGTCCTGTGTAATCACTTGGATATCACTGAATGAATTCAGTCCAGCACTTCTGGCTTCTCTCATTAGTTTGCTTTAGGGTTTCCCTTGGTTTACTGTGACCAAAAAAAAATTGTTTTGTTTTGTTTTTGGATACTATTCAGCTTTTTCATTCCATCTCAACAGCTGTGAGATTTGGTAGGGATTTCCTAAGGGTTTTCCCAGGAGGTCCTAAAGTATGGGAGGAGGGGGGTTAGGTTTAGAGTTCAGTGTTAATTTAACAGTAACCCTACAACACTAAAACTGCTGTGTTCTAGGCATGTCATGTGTTGACTGTTTTCATCATTTACTGCATCATTATTTCCAGTCTGTGTTACTTTGGTTCGTTCATCACCAACTCTTTGCCCCGTTTCCGCAAAGTTTTCTTACTCTGTGACTTCGCCTTCATCGTGGAATTCCTTGACCTATCACCTAGAATATACGACTTCACAGGGAATAAAATATCAAATCTTGCAGCCAACGAGATGGAGTGAAAAGGCTGAATAGTACCCCCCCCACCCCCCTCCTTTTTTTTTTTTTAAACTTACAACACAAGAAACACACAGACTTCAGAAACTTACCTCGGATCATAGCAAGACAAGCAAGAAGATTTATTATGCTCCAGTGTAAAGAAGCCTTCAGCAAATCTGCGTACCTGGTACAGAAATAGGAAAAGTAAAGGACCTTACTTATGACAGTGGTGCATTGGGCACAGAGAGCTAGGCCTTCATTTTTATTGAACAATCTGCACTCGATTTGTGATGTAAACAAAATCAAATCTGTCAAGTTAACGTCCCAAAACATTACCTGGTACACATTTTATTTAGGTCAAACTAGGAGCCAAAATCAGTTCTAAAGGGGAAAAAAAGCCTCAGTTTGATCTGAACCCTACACTTTCAGATCAGCAGGCAAGTGTCCAAACAGAAATACAGGGTCTCCTCTGTCTCAACTGAGTTCTGTTTCGACTAACAGGTTGTAAATCTAGCTGGTCATAAGTAATTTTTTTTAAATACTATTTTATTCTAATGGGTTATCTTCTTCGCGTTCACCAGCTGTAAACTCGGGCGAAAATTTCTGGTTGTTCATCCACTTCTGGACTGCAGTCCTGTTCCAGAACCTAAGTGTTGCGTGTGCATCCGTTTGACAGATCTGACTCATTTGTGTACAGCCTGTTGGTTTCTTGCCTCTCAGGCAGATGCACTCTGACTTCGAAGGAAGTCGACTCTTACGACATGCTTTTGGGTAGGCAGTGGGTCTATTCTTGTTTTCCCTAAAATAGGGCCCCGAAACCCACACGGGGTTAATGGGTTTTAAAGCTGTACACAATAAAACAAAATATTCATTCTATGTATGTATAGTTATTGTACATAATGTGAAGAATACATATGTATGTATTCTACTTAATAAGTTCTAGGAATTTTTTAACCGTACCATTGTAGGGTTATCTTTCTTTATTTACTTTTTATTTTGGTGTGGTTGTAAGTGTAGATAGTCGAAGTCATATAGTCCTAAGCTGAGGAAAAGTGCTGTAAAATATACAAATTTATATTTTACTAGAAAATATTTGGCTTCATCAAGCATGTGTTTTTTACATGAATGCGTGAGATTTTAGTTTGTTTTTAAACAAGATGCGTATATTTCTTCTTTGTAAAAATTATAAACTTGAGATAATACGTGTATTATTACTTTCTCCACTGAATCTTTAATCATCTTGTGGAATTTTTCAAGTTCACTCTGTCACCCCATTAAAGCTGGTTTTCTGATTTCAACAGCTTTTTGGTGACATGAAGTTTCTGGCCAGTGGCCAATATGCCTGTATAACATCTTTGAAGTCTTCACTCAAAGCATTTGGGATAAATGACACCAATTGGGAGGCTGCCTCTCAAGACAGAAATGCATGGCATGCAACTCTACACAAGGGCGCAGCTACATGTGAAGCAAACAGAACAGCAAGACTGATTAAGAAAAGGATGGACAGAAAGGTGACTGCAGGAGATCCCCTCACTGGCACAACGCTCATTCCCTGTCCTCACTGTCCAAGAACTTTTTGGGCGTGAATCGGCCTCATCAGTCATCTTTGTACTCATACTTGAAGAAAAAAGAGCGGTCATCATCATCTTGGTGGACAACACACACACATAACATACTGGCCATGTCTGCATAGTGATATAGTGGGCATAATTATTTATACACCCCTCACCCTATTTCACCAACACAAATTCTGAGATCATTTTTGAAAACTATGATGCTGTCATTATGTCATAATAATCTGATAATCACACCTACTGCAGCTTCCACCTGGTGTTCTCACAGCTCAAGAACTTTCCAGGCACATTTGTACCTAACCATCCGAAATCGAGTGAATAATGAAACTATCAGGCAAATTGTGGGAACGACACCTTGTACTAGATTCATCGAGAAACAGCAGATCAAGTGGTTTGACCATCTCGTTAGAATGCAGCAAGATTAAATACCATCACAAGCACTACATCTCAGAAGATCAGCTACAAGAGCAAGAGGACGGCCGCAGAAAACATGGATCGACAACATTAAAGGAACTCTACCCCTTCACGGCATGACAATAGCCAGTGGCAGGAATCGTGCACTGGATCGCAAATTATTCCTCCCTATGACGCTTAATGGCAGAAGTGGCTGATGATGATGATGAAGCACATTTGTATTCATAATCATTGATCATTACTTTTTTGGATGAAATGTTGTATATAAAATAATGGCAAGATATGGAGTAAGCGAACACCTCATCGAAGTGTGCAAAAGTTTATACAGGGATTGTAGAAGTGTAGTTAGAATAAATCAGGGAACATCTCATCCTTTCACAGTGACATCTGGAGTAAGACAGGGGTGTGTCTTATTACCACTGCTGTTTATCACCTACATCGACAGTATATGCAAGAATGCCAAGCCCATGAATGAAGATCGTAGTAAGATCAACGAATTACTCTTTGCAGATGACCAGGCCTTGATAGCAGATACAGCCATGAAATTGCAACAACATCTAACATCCATGAATGAAGAATGTAAAACAAATAATATGAGAATCAACACTGAAAAGACAGAAGTAATGTCAATAGGAAAAAAGAAGACAGATATAAACATAGCAATAGAATACAAAGACATTAAACAGGCATCTGAGTTTAAATATCTGGGAACTACATTTACCGAAGATGGGAAATTGGATAAAGAAATTGACATTAGATGCAGTAAAGCAAACCAAGTATTGGGACAGCTAGCCCTCCCTCTTACAGCATAAGACAATCCAAATCAGCACAAAGAGACATCTTATTCAAAGCATATTTATTCCAACTCTGTGCTACCAGTGCCAGACATGGTCACTCACAACAAACCATAAAAGAAAATTAGTAACCACGGAAATGAGATGTCTGAGAAGGGCTGTAGGAGTGACCATAAGAGATAAGATCAGGAATGAGATCATAAGAGAACAAGTCGGCACAGAACCAATTCTGGATTATATACAAAGACAGCAAGTGAAATGGTTTGCCCACTTAGAGAGAATGCCTTGTGACACCATACCATACAAAGCATACATGGAAAGAGAAGGATGTAGAGCACGGGGTAGACCAAGAACAAGATGGAAGGATAACATCAGAGAAACTCTACAACAGCACGATGTGCCTATGGTCGAGGCAGCCAGAAGAGCTAGAAACAGAACCTTATATCTCCCTCAACACCCACAGCGGTAAAAGAGGAAGTGAAGAAGAAGAAGAAGAATGTGGTCTTCATCACACATGATGGATGATAACAGTTTTATATAAATTCACTCTGATATCCGTAACGAAGTTTTAAAAAAATAATAAAAACTTTTATCATGGTCAAAGGGATGGAAATCAATTAATTCTTTGCTCCATTTATATTATTTAGTGACCAACTTCTTCTTCTGCCTTTTTATCCCCCAATGGAGCATAGGCCCTCAACCAACTCACGCCAAGTCGTTCTATCCTTCGCCATTACATGGAGCTCTCCCCATGTCCTCCCAATCTTTCTAACCTCATTCTCCAGCTCTCTTCTCCATGTGTTTTTTGGCCTTCCTTTATTCCTATGCCCCTGTGGGTTCCAATGCAAAGACATTCTAGTTATGCTGTTCTCCTGTTTTCTCAGTGTGTGCCCTATCCAACGCCAGCGTCTTTTCCTCACCTCCTGATCCACTGGAGCCTGTTTAGTTCTCTCCCAAAGTTCTACATTAGTTATTCTATCATACCATTTTATTCCCTCTATTCTGCGCAGGCACCAGTTAATGAATGTCTGTAATTTATTAGTAATTGCCTTCGTTGTTCTCCATGTTTCCGCCCCATACAATAGTACTGATTTGACATTAGAATTAAAAATTTTTAGTTTAGTATTTCTTTTAATTTCTTTTGACCTCCACAAATTCCCTAGTGCTATGAAAGCCCCTCTTGCCTTTTGTATTCTTATTTTAATATCTCTATCAGTTCCTCCATCTTTATCTACATTACTGCCCAAATAGGTGTACGACTCCACGTCTTGGAGTGGGGTGCCATCAAGAGAAACCACATTACTATTTGCCTGATTTATTCTCATTATCTTTGTCTTTCCTTTATGGATTTTCAGACCAAGCTGCTGTGATCTCGCATTAAGTATATTTAATTTATCTTGTATCTGATTCCGTGAATGGGACAGAAGGGCAATATCATCAGCGAAGTCCAGATCATCAAGCTGTTTTGTAGGGGTCCACTGAATTCCATTCTTGGTGTTAGCAGTTACTGTTTTCATAGTCCAGTCTATAGCCAGTAAAAAAAAGGAGAGGCGACAAAAGACATCCCTGTCGCACACCTGTTTTTATTTCAAATGCATCTGTTAGCTTTCCCTCATGAAGAACTCGACATTTCATGTCTTTATATGTTGCCTTTAATAAGTTGATAATTTTCTGTGGGATTCCATAGTGCCCCATCAATTTCCAGAGAGATTCCCTATCAATGCTGTCAAATGCTTTTTCATAGTCTATAAATCCAATGTAAAGTGGTGAGTTCAGTTCAATGCTTTGCTCTATTATAATACGTAATGTGGCTATCTGATCAGTACAGGATCTGTTGGACCGAAAACCCGCCTGCTCATCTCTTAGCATTTTATCAATAGCATCTTTTAATCTTTCCAAAATAATTCTACTTAATATTTTTCCAGGAACTGACAGCAACATAATTCCTCTATAGTTTTCACACTCCTGTAGATCACCTTTTTTGGGCAGTTTCACAAGATATCCTTCCCTCCAGTCTGTTGGTATTTCTTCGGTCTCCCAGACTTTACTGAATAATCTATGTAGCAATTCTGTTGATGTGTTTATGTTGGTCCTGATGGCTTCAGCTGGGATACCATCTGGGCCTGACGCCTTTCCTTCCTTAAGAAGATTTATAGCTTTTCTAATTTCCTCTTTGGATGGTGTCTCACAGTTGATATTCAGTTCCATTTCTAAGTGACCAACTAACTCATTAAAAAAAGTGTTTTTGCATGAAAATAATAATTATTATGAATGATTGTAGTTATTCAGGGTCTGCGATGTAGCTGTGGACTAAACACTTGCCCGTGTGTGCTTGGTGATCCAGGAGTTGCACCACCTGGATGTTTATAACAACTGCCTAAGACTTGACATTTCTTCTTCTTCTTCTCTGTCTCTAGTTTCTTAGGGCAGCGTTTCAGAAAATTATAAGGACGCACACCTTTTTAAATATTTCTGAAACAGGCATTTTTTTTTTTTAATGAGTGAAAGGGTTTTATCCAAATGTCTCCCTTCCAGCAAAACAGCAAATTATTATTAGCATCTTTATCCCTACTTTATGTTATCAGTGCCAAACACGGACAATAAATAGGGCTCTAGAATAGAAAATAACTACATGTGAAATGCGCTGTCTCTGCAAGGTCACTAACAACATAACACGAGACATGGTTACGAATACCAGCATTAGAGAAAGTTGGAATAAGACCATGCCTGGATTATACTGACAGAAAAAGTATGAAATGGTTCGGCCATCTAGTGAGAATGCAGCCAGATCAGACTGCATATGAGACTTTTTACAGTAGAATATCTGGGAGGAAGGTGAGAGGAAGACCAAGAAAGAGGTGGATAAATGGTGTAGTTGAAACCTACAAAAGATGAACAAATCCATCATTCAAGCCACCAAAGAAGTGCAAGACAAATACAGAAAAATTAGAGACTGGACTACAACCTGGTATCAGTGAGATGACAAATGAAGAAGAAGAAGAAAGGGTTTAATCTCTGTTTTATAGCTGTTTACAGATCCCAGGGAGATAACTGAAGGCTAAGACTGGGAAGCTCAAAGAGAAGGAAAGGAAAAATCAACGTACATAGGAACAATAGGATGCTTTGGCTGAAGTCATCATTGATGAGAGGCACAACAAGACGGCGAGACTTCCTTACACCAACTCAAAAATGGGGGAGACATAAGATTAAATTACCCTGAACACAGTAAACATTGCAGACTCAACAACTACTCATATAAATCAGGTATGACCTAAACAGCTCTCTGCCAGTGTCTTCATGCTGAACAGACCCTAGAACACATCCTGCCAGATTGTCTTATGCTCCAAGAGCTGCGAAAGAACATGTGACCACACCCATCAGAGCTGACAACTAAGCTGTGGGAAAACCTCAGAGACCTCAAGCTGACATCCCAGTGTATTACTTTAAGTAGATTAAGCGCATGACCAGAGATCGCTGAAGAATAATTAACCTGAACTTTGTTCATACCCTCTGGATATGATGCTCCATGGCCAGAGATAGCTGAAGAATAATTAACCTGAACTTTGTTCATACCCTCTGGATATGATGCTCCATGACCAGAGATAGCTGAAGAATAATTAACCTGAACTTTGTTCATACCCTCTGGATATGATGCTCCATGGCCAGAGATAGCTGAAGAATAATTAACCTGAACTTTGTTCATACCCTCTGGATATGATGCTCCATGACCAGAGATAGCTGAAGAATAATTAACCTGAACTTTGTTCATACCCTCTGGATATGATGCTCCATGGCTGGCCAGAGATAGCTGAAGAATAATTAACCTGAACTTTGTTCATACCCTCTGGATATGATGCTACATGGCCAGAGATCGCTGAAGAATAATTAACCTGAACTTTGTTCATACCCTCTGGATATGATGCTACATGGCCAGAGATAGCCGAAGAATAATTAACCTGAACTTTGTTCATACCCTCTGGATATGATGCTCCATGGCTGGCCAGAGATCGCTGAAGAATAATTAACCTGAACTTTGTTCATACCCTTTGGATATGATGCTCCATGGCTGGCCAGAGATCGCTGAAGAATAATTAACCTGAACTTTGTTCATACCCTCTGGATATGATGCTCCATGGCTGGCCAGAGATAGCTGAAGAATAATTAACCTGAACTTTGTTCATACCCTCTGGATATGATGCTCCATGGCCAGAGATAGCTGAAGAATAATTAACCTGAACTTTGTTCATACCCTCTGGATATGATGCTCCATGGCTGGCCAGAGATCGCTGAAGAATAATTAACCTGAACTTTGTTCATACCCTCTGGATATGATGCTACATGGCCAGAGATAGCTGAAGAATAATTAACCTGAACTTTGTTCATACCCTTTGGATATGATGCTCCATGGCCAGAGATAGCTGAAGAATAATTAACCTGAACTTTGTTCATACCCTCTGGATATGATGCTCCATGGCTGGCCAGAGATAGCTGAAGAATAATTAACCTGAACTTTGTTCATACCCTTTGGATATGATGCTCCATGGCTGGCCAGAGATAGCTGAAGAATAATTAACCTAAACTTTGTTCATACCCTCTGGATATGATGCTCCATGGCTGGCCAGAGATAGCTGAAGAATAATTAACCTGAACTTTGTTCATACCCTTTGGATATGATGCTCCATGGCTGGCCAGAGATAGCTGAAGAATAATTAACCTAAACTTTGTTCATACCCTCTGGATATGATGCTCCATGGCCAGAGATAGCTGAAGAATAATTAACCTGAACTTTGTTCATACCCTTTGGATATGATGCTCCATGGCTGGCCAGAGATAGCTGAAGAATAATTAACCTAAACTTTGTTCATACCCTCTGGATATGATGCTCCATGGCCAGAGATAGCTGAAGAATAATTAACCTAAACTTTGTTCATACCCTTTGGATATGATGCTCCATGGCCAGATGTAAGTGTACTTGCTGCTGCTTCAGGACAATCTCCAGGAACTGGGCCCACAAGATGACATTTTCTGCACAGATCTGGGCAATGTCTGTCTGGGCAGTTTGTATCAGGTCATCTTCTTCCATCACTCCCTATTACAGATAAAAGCCCAGAAACTTTCAAATAACACACATAATACTGACTCCTAAACAGGACTTTTTCAAAAACAAATGACCCTGGCTCCCAGATCGATCCAGACTTGAATGAATACCAGATACAGTCCTGGGAAGTAAAGGTGGCCAGGATGATGTTCACCACATCATCCACCAAGTGCAGATTGGTCTATAAAATATAGGTCTGGCCCTATATGCCTAATATGCCTGAAGGTATGGAGAAGGGTCTTTTGTAATGACTCCTTAACATTAAAAAAAATATCATTCTGCCTGTAGGTCTTGAGCCTAAGAAATATAAATAGCAGAATGGGATGATACTTAATAATGATCTACACAATAGGATGATGACAGGGATGTTATTTAATAGTGATCGGCACACTAGGATGATGATGGTGAGGTTACATAATAATGACCTGCACAAGAGGATAATACTTAATAATGATCTTCACAACCAGATGACTTCTTCTTCTTCTTCTTCTTCTTCGCATTCACCAGCTGTAAACTCTGGCGGAAAGTTCTGGTTGTTCATCCACTTCTGGACTGCAGTCCTGTTCCAGAACCTGAGTGTTGCGAGTGCATCCATTTTACAGATCCAACTCATTTGTATGCAGACTGCTGGTTCCTTGCCTCTCAGACAGATGCATTCCGACTTCAAGGGAAGCTCCAAATTAGTAGACTCTTACAACACGCAGTGGGTCTTTTTTTTCTCCCTATAATAGGGCCCCCGAACCCACACAGGGAAACCAGAAGATGACAGGGGTGATATTTAAAAATGATCTCACCTGAACTTTCATCACAGTTTCTCCGAGTTTTGTTAGACAATCCTTGCATTCTGAAAAGCACACGGAAATAGAATGTAGTCATCACAAGATGTCTTGCTGACCAGCATGGACAATCCTACCCCTCCCTGTTTCACAATCTCTAACAGCATGTATCAGTTTGTATGCTGACACCTTTTCATGGCAGCACTTCTTCTTTTTCTCCTCTTTAGCACCCAGTGGCTGTAAAGCTGTAAACTCTGTTAGAAAGTTCTTGTTGTTCACGGACTTCTAACTTCCCTCTTATTCCAGAAGTTGGGTTGTGTGATGCACATCCATTTTACAAATATGGCTTATTTTTAATCACCACTTGGTGGTGACATGCTGCATGGCAAGGAAGGTGTTTTAAGGGTCCTTTGGGAGCAAGTTAACAATGCAGAGATATGAACATTCGAGGAGTGACCAGGGGATCTGGCTGATGCTCAGTACTTAAGAGAAAGTGACAACCCCTGTGCTCTAACAATCAGTTACTAATGCTATGGGAAGTAGAACTATGCCCTTGCTACTGAATATGGGGACGGAGTACTTGTGGGAATATCTTAAGTACTGTGTCTGTTCTTTATTTAACATTCAACAGCAACATTTTGTGTCACCTTTTAGAGCAGGTTGGACAGGGCAGTCTTATGCCTGAAGATACAGGGCTGCATGGCTAGTGCAGCAACCACAGACTGTGCAGGCTGTTTATTGTTGCTCCTCCAGGAAAAAACCTTTAGGATGTTCGTTGTTGCTCCTCCAGGAAAAACCTTTAGGATGTTTATTGTTGCTCCTCCAGGAAAAACCTTTAGAATGTCTATTGTTGCTCCTCCAGGAAAAACCTTTAGGATGTTTGTTGTTGCTTCTCCAGGAAAAACCTTTAGGATGTTTATTAGTGCTCCTCCAGGAAAAACCTTTAGAATGTCTATTGTTGCTCCTCCAGGAAAAACATTTAGGATATTTATTGTTGCTCCTCCAAAAAAACAAACCATGAGGATGTTTACTGTTGCTCCTCCAGGAAAAAAAATATTTAGGATATTTATTGTTGCTCCTCCAGGAAAAAAAATATTTAGGATGTTGATTGTTGCTCCTCCGGGAAAAACCTTTAGAATGTTTACTGTTGCTCCTCCGGGAAAAACCTTTAGAATGTTTATTGTTGCTCCTCCAGGAAAAATATTTAGGATATTTATTGTTGCTCCTCCAAAAAAAACCTTTAGGATGTTGATTGTTGCTCCTCCAGGAAAAATATTTACGATATTTATTGTTGCTCCTCCAGGCAAAACCTCCAACACCTTACTGGGGATCTAGGTCTCAGATGACAGCCCTGTGCTATAACTGCTAGGCCAGCCATACACAAAAAGAGAAAAACTTAACTTACATCTTGAACCCTGAGGTGTCGGTGTGAAATATAAATTGTGGGGAACGAACACTTCTGTGCCTTGTAAATGGGAATTTCTAGGCACTCTATTATTTCCTATCCATCATTTTCCTGGTTGGCCTCACTTCCTATTGCCTCTTGGTCTGTACATCATTGTTTCTTATGAAATGGAGGCTACGACTAGCTGACAGGATCAGGTAACGTTTCTCATGTGAAAAATGCATTAAAAAACCCGAGCGGGGGTCTCTGCGGCAAAGTGGTCAAGCCGTTTGCCCCATGTTTTAAATATTGTGGTTTTGTTTCATGGCTTTGCCCTTTAGTTCACAAGTGCACTTTTTACGGAGATATCTGAGGGTTGTCACCGGAGCTGCATAGTTCATGCTTTGTGTGACGCTCTCGGCAGTTGGCTAGCCACTCTGGGGAAAAAGACCGAGCTATTTGGGATAAAACCTGGTTCAATGAAGTCGATACTCTTGACTTTAACCTCCTCTTGGTCAGCTTCATGGTATACTCCTCTTCAAATCTGTTGTATATGAAGTTTATATCTCTTTTTTCATCTGCCATTCTTTCTATATACCCTAACCACTGCAATCTATTAGCCCTCATGATATATATAATATAAGTAATAAGTCATTATTTAAACTGATTATGAATTTCACTGTTGCTTCTCCATTCTCCGCTGTTTCCACTTTTGAATGGTTTCTTAATTTATATTTTTTTTATATTTATTTCAACAGAGATGTGGTTTCTGAGACGAATGTTACGAATACCTTGGACGGTCAGAGTAACCAACAACGACTGCTTGAAAGAGGCTAATGAAAGTAGACCTCTATTTACAACAATAAGAAAGAGACAAACACTGTTCTTTAGCCACATAATGAGAAGAGAGACATTGGAGAACATTGTGACAAATGGTAAGATCAGTGGAAAAAGGTGTAGAGGCAGACCAAGAGAGATGATGCTGGATGGGCTAAAACGATGACATGGAGGGATACCATCAAGAGTGCTGACCCAGTCAACCAGGGATCGTGATCTGTGGAGTCGCATGAGCGCCTACGCCAGTTGGCAGGGCACATGATGATGATGATGATGATATATATATATATATATATATATTTATTATATGTGTGTGTGTGTGTTTGTGTGTATGAGTGTGTGGTTAATATTATGATATAATAAAATATACTATAATGCACACAAAATGTGCAACACCTGCAGATGAACTTACCAAGCTGAAAATTGCTGCCAGGTATCATAGCTGCATACTGTTGAAGGTAGTCCTGAAGACTTTCATGAGCAGACAGAAGGATGTTGCATATAGTCTTGTGCATAAGGTGAGCTTGCTGCATGCGGACACTGCTGCTGGAGGCATTAACTGGAGGCTGTGAGGAGAACAGGACAGATCAAAACTGCATTTTACACAATGAATAACATTTTGTGAAATAAATACATATCACTGGAGGCTGGGAAAAGAATTCTATATACAGCCAGTTTTAACATTCGGCTGTGAAGCCTGGACAATTAATAAACAAGCCGAACAATATTTTGAGGCCTCTGAGATGTGGTTTTACCGAAGAATCCTTAGAATTCCTTGGACAGCCAGAAAGAGCAACCCAGGTGTTTTGAAAGAGGCAAATGCTCGAAGACAACGTATCACAAAGAGACAGTGATTATTTTTTTGGTCATTTTATGAGAAGAAGGAAAATGAAACATCACTGAAAAGATCTGTGGAAAGAGAGACAGAGGAAGACAGCATGAGAAGATTCTTGACAGTTTTTTGTCATGGCATTAAGGGATGTCAGCACACGAACTGATACATGTAGTTGCAGATGACAGATTGTGGAGAGGCATGATCACCCATGCCAGTCGGCAAGGCACATGATGATGATGATGTGAGGAAAGGATCTGAATCCTAACTATGTTTTAGACATTTAATTTCTAATTCTTGTTAAGGGAGACTTGCAAGTGTTTTGGTATATGGGCAGAGCACAAGTGTTTTGGTATATGGGCACAGCACAAGTGTTTTGGTATATGGGCAGAGCACAAGTGTTTTGGTATATGGGCAGAGCACAAGTGTTTTGGTATATGGGCAGAGCACAAGTGTTTTGGTATATGGGCAGAGCACAAGTGTTTTGGTATATGGGCAGAGCACAAGTGTTTTGGTATATGGGCAGAGCACAAGTGTTTTTGGTATATGGGCAGAGCACAAGTGTTTTGGTATATGGGCAGAGCACAAGTGTTTTGGTATATGGGCAGAGCACAAGTGTTTTGGTATATGGGCAGAGCACAAGTGTTTTGGTATATGGGCAGAGCACAAGTGTTTTGGTATATGGGCAGAGCACAAGTGTTTTGGTATATGGGCAGAGCACAAGTGTTTTGGTATATGGGCAGAGCACAAGTGTTTTGGTATATGGGCAGAGCACAAGTGTTTTGGTATATGGGCACAGCACAATGTTTTGGTATATGGGCAGAGCACAAGTGTTTTGGTATATGGGCACAGCACAAGTGTTTTGGTATATGGGCAGAGCACAAGTGTTTAATTAGGCATTCTAAACCCAGTTTGCTTCATTTGGATATTTTCACCAAGTGATGCCGGTGTGTTGGGAAATGAGCAGGCAGACAGACCGGCCGGTTCTGCACCATCTGGTAGGAACTGATGTATGACATGTTGTGAGGGTCCTTCAGGAGCAAGTTAACAGTGAGGAGGCACAAACAGATCATTATGGTCTGAGGGGAATGGCGCTGTGGAGAGTTACCAGGGGAAGCTAGCCGATGCTCAAGATCCAAGGAAAAGGTGAGGCGGACATACAATCAGACAGTTACTGCTGCCATCAGAACTCTTAGCTTGCTGCTAAAGATGGGGATGGGGCAGTTATGCGAATATCCCGAGTGCTATGATGTTGATTCTTAATCCAAAATACTAAATCCCAGCAGAATTAATATTCAGGATTCTTTCGGCAAATTTTTTCTTTGCCTGTTGCCATCTTTAAAAAGGTGTTTGGCAAGACGTGTTGCGGACAGAGGTTGGGACTCAGGTCCAACTTCATTTGTGTAATTAACCACTTGCAACTTCACTTGGGATTTTGTCCAGCGATCGACTTGTGGCTTATAGCTTCAATGACTTGGTATGACTCGTTCTCCATGGGCAACCACTGTAAGATTTGGTGATCATCATCACATGTTAAAACGTCTTCATGACAAGACAGAATAAATTCTATTTCATTTCATCAAGCTTTTACATTCGACTTCTTCTGCTTTTATACACGAGGGAGGGTTATTTTTTAAAAAATGACTCCTATTTTTTTTTTAATCTAAGTAAATACTGTATTAGTGTGCAGGATTCCTCAAACACTCTTCTGCTCTGTATAGAAATACTAACATGTTCAGTAACAGGTGGCACCAGTCTAAGGGTTTAAAAACGCCTTCCAAAGACCTAAAGTTAAAACAACATAATGTCATCATCATCAATCAGCAAATCCTTTGCAGAATGTCACTTTCTTCACGACACGCCTGAAAGTATCCTTTTCCCCAGCCAGCTCTCCAGCCCCATGTGCTTTATTTGCCAATGCATCTTCAATGTCCTGCATACATCTTTGCAGAGGTTGACCCCTTCATCACTTTCCACAAACTGCATCTTCTTTTCCAGGCCAGGTAATGTCATATAATTCCTTAATGCTGAAGGTGAGACTCCAATTTACATCCACAAACGTTTGACAAATGTTTATGGAGACTCAACAGTGGAAGGACATTAGCACTGTCTGGTGCCAGATACAGTGGCGTGATGAAGCTGAAGTAGGTCAATCCTCAGTGGCTGATGCAAAATGGACTGACTGTCCATCTACCACAGTTACTCCACACAGCATTGATCAAGTTGATGACGTCACTGGTGTTGACCACTGGGTAACTCTGGATGAACTATTTCATGTTGTCCATTAGGCAGTGTCCAGACCATCAGTTCATCCAATGTTACCCAACGGTCAGCAGGAAGGATGTCATTAACTCGTACAGTAACTGCAGTAGACCCACGGAAATGACAGGCAATGGAACTAACAGTCTGCATACAGATGAGTCAGATCTGTAAAACAGATGCAACACTCAGATTCTCAAACAGGACTGGAGTCCAAAAATGTTCTGGAGTTTACAGCTGGTGAACGCAAATAAGAAACAGAACAGCATCTGAGAAAAAGAACAGCATGTGATGGCTTCATACTAGAGACAACACTGCAGATTTAGATAATCTATTTCAAGAGAACAAAAGAAGAAGAACAGCATGTGATGGCTTCATACTAGAGACAACACTGCAGATATAGATAATCTATTCCCCCGTGTGGGTTCCGGGGCCCTATTGTGGGAAAAACAAGAATAGACCCACTGCCTCCCCAAAAGCATGTCGTAAGAGTCGACTAACTGGGGAGCTTCCTTTGAAGTCGGAGTGCATCTGCCTGAGAAGCAAGGAACCAGCAGTCTGCATTCAATTGAATCAGATCTGTAAAACTGATGCACACGCAACACTCAGGTTCTGGAGCAGGACTGCAGTCCAGAAGTGGACGAACAACCAGAACTTTACACCAGAGTGTACAGCTGGTGAACGCAAAGAAGAAAGAAGAAGATAATCTATTTCAAGAGAACAAAAGAAGAAGAACAGCATGTGATGGCTTCATACCTGAGACAACACTGCAGATATAGATAATCTATTTCAAGAGAACAAAAGAAGAAGAACAGCATGTGATGGCTTCATACTAGAGACAACACTGCAGATATAGATAATCTATTTCAAGAGAACAAAAGAAGAAGAACAGCATGTGATGGCTTCATACTAGAGACAACACTGCAGGTTTAGATAATCTATTTCAAGAGAACAAAAGAAGAAGAAGAAAGAACATGTGATGACAGCAACAGTCCTGAAATCCAATGCTATAATTGTTGAAGACTTTTCTTAACGCAGGCAGGTCCTGCTAGTCCCACTTGTCATCGCTATGGGCTGTGATTCCTCCCTAAAGCACAATATAACACTATCGTCTGGAAAGACGGAAAAGTTCTGATGATGAAATGACCCTTTTTAGGCCAGTGGCGCATCAGCTGATGTGGTCAACATCATGCTAGGTGCCTTTACTTCCCAGGACATTACATTAATTTCTAACCTGGGTTGACCTGGCAAACTGTCAATTTTTAAGAAGAAAAACATCTGGGGACAGTGTGTGATAAAGAGTAAAAATAATAAAAAGTAGGTAGAAGAGAGTTGGAAATCAATGGTAGCTCTAGATTACAAAAATGAGACAATTCTGAGAACAGATGTCTTAGAAGAATACTAAATCTTCACAGGATAGATGTCAGATCCAATTTGTAAATAAGACAAGAGACCATGCAAGATAATTTATCCAATTTTATAAGGAAGTGCTGCTTGAACTTCATTGGCCATGCACTCAGGATGGATAAGACCCCTGTCAAACCCTCATATGGACTCCGGAAGGAACAAAAACAAAACTGGAAAGACCAAGAGAGACCCTGAGTAGAACCATCATCAGGGAAGGTTCAACAATGGGCCTAACAAACATCCAAGACCTAAAACAGGCAGCACTGGACCAACAGAAACGGAGAGCATTGACTTTTGCCCTACGCACCACCAAAGGCTTAAAAGGAAAAACTAAGACTAAGGCTAATAACAATGCGGAAAAATATATAAGTTAGCCTTTTCGCCATAAACACCGACACTTCTGCTCGGGTCCATTTCCCTGTAAATGTCACTTTTGAGACTTGTTTGTACTGACTTATGTACGAGACACTCAGTTGATGCTTTTGGATGTTTCGCAACTGTGCAAACATTTAGCAGGTCAGGATATGAATACATTAACTAACAGTAGCATTTAGGGGGGATTTCCTTTGAGCTAAATTACTTTTTTTTTAAAGCCAAGTTGATGTCAGTTTCCCGAAGCCTCAGTGATAGAAGTCACAGGGTCATGGCAAAAATCACCCAACACATGTGCAAGGATGTGTTTCATTAAATGCTTAACCCTGTTCATGTTGACTACTCCTTTCATATATCTTTATATATTTTGAAGGGGAAAATATTTAAACATGTAGACAAATGAATTTTATAACGAATTCATTAGTGACCTGTGTTAACATTTTCATCATAATTTTTTTCTGGAATTCTGGTGGGGTCATCAACTTTATTTTTATAAGTGTTCCCAGGGCCAAAGGGCTAATGCAGAGAAAACACTAGGAGAAATGACAACATACAAAATATCATTACTCACATTTGCAGATGCTGCCACTATTTTCTGGCCAAAATACACTGCTTCTAGTGACGATTGGTCCAAAGATTTTCCAGTTTTCAGAGACTTTGGAGTACTGAAAATAAGAAAAAAGAGTAAAGCAAAGTAAAAGATCTTTTTCCATGTCACAGGACGTACTGGGATGTAGATTTCACACTGGACACAACAGACTCTCCAGCCATATGTACAAGAAAATCAGGATTGTAGGTTCAGAACTTGTATAGATGCACAGACACCAGAGAATACTGAACATGAGCTACAGAGAGGCTCTCTACATGCAGTAGAGAGATCCCAGGTTTGACTGGTTGGCTTTCTAATGAAAACCAAGCTGCATAGAACAGTGGAAGACAGGTGTTGCACTACAGACTTCACAGAAGCCTGGGGCCTTCACATCTGAAAACCACTGGATGGAGAACAAAAAGAAGTAGATATTTTTACAAACCAAAAGGCATTTGAAATGGTCAATATAAATTATTTTATTTACTTCGTAGAATATCTCTGGCTATATTAGGCCTCGACGATGCAAACAGCGGGGAATGGAGAGTAAGAAGCAACAACAAAATTCTTTATCTGTTTAAATCATCACCGATCACTGTCATCATGAGGGATAATAGACTGAAATGGCTGGAAATGCTGAATATAACACAAAACTTGAGTCGAGAGCTCAACGGAAGAAATGGAAAAGAAACAGACAAACACAAACGAACATTTCGACCAAAGTCTTTATCAAGGGAATACAGCACAAACAGTGACTGGAAAAACTCAACAGACAAGACAAAGGAGTGAATAAAAAGCCAAGGTCAACATGAAAAAAAAAGAAGTATGCGATGGAAGGAAAATATGAATATCAAGGGCTACAATATGAAACGAAATAAGCAAGAAAGTGTATGTACAAAGAGGTAGAGAAATATGAGTAGGTTAAATAAATGAACAAGCAAATAAATAAAACAACAAAATTTAATAAAGCTGTGTTGAATATTGATCCCTCCAGGATTAAGAACACCAAAACTATGGATGAAAAGATTTTCTAATGAGTAGCGGCTGGTTTGATCACCAGAGCAAGATTTAATAGCAGCGACTGAGATATTGTTTTCGCCTTGGTGGTTAGAACTGTTAAAATGGAGGGACACAGGTTTCAGAGCCTTATTGCCATTGTCAGCAAGATGTTCTCTGAAACAATCTGCTAGCTTCCTAGCGGTTCCCCAATATATGCCTTTTTACATCTTTTTGATGGCATAAATTAGGTTACACGATTCAATTGAATGCTTCTTAAATGTGAAATAAATAATGATCCAAACCTTTTCGGTCTGCTTCCCGAAGGGTTTATTTCACATTAGAGAAAACCGTAGCTTTTGTTTTAATAATAATTTTCAAAAATATTTCATTGACAACTAATTAAAACTGCAGACATTTTTAGTGTAAGAGATAATGAAATTTACAAATGCACTTAATTTCACAACGGTTTGTCCCCACCTCCTCCCAACCCCCCTCAAAACTTCCATGCACCCCCTTCCTCCATCTCCACCCTTTTTTTTAAACATCACCCATCCCCTCTCCAAGCGCCAGGTGAAACCACTGCGCTATTCCAATCTCCAAACAACTAAATCAGCACTCACCTAAGGTAAGCCTGATGTATAGAGAGAAGGACGGCATGTATAACAACTTCTATTGCTGCCAGGTGAAAGTAATCAAAGAGTACTGGGAGCGAGTGGTGGAGTCCCTTTGTAGGCGACAGATGAAGCAGTAATGTTCTGGAACTTGCCATCTCCATTTTCTCACCAGCTGTGTCCGAGCTAGGAAAGATGTAATGCAATGATTGAAAAAGCAATACATTAAAAAGTGATAGATTATTACAACATGTAAAAATATAAAACCAAATTGCTGTATTGAGTTGAATTTGTGATGTTTCACCATTATAAATTTGAACAAAGAAGACAAACAATTGATTTTACAATTTGCTGCCTGGCATATTTCACTGTATCTCATTGACTGTATATTACACAAATAGAAAATGTGCAGGTACTTTTGAGTGTAGCTGATTTGTTATTTCAGTTAGAAGGATTCCTTTATTTGCTTCCTTATATTCAAGTGTTGCAACATGGATGTGTTCCACCCCATACTGCCCATGCAATTGTTAAAACCATAAAAGGTCTCCACTTTCAGTGTATACCATACTCCCCAGTAATTAATACCTGAAGTGGTACATGAGTTGTAACACAACAAGAAAATCTTGCCTACAGGAATCCAAGCACTTCATCGGTGCTGGAGGACTTGCACGGAAAACACTGGTGACTAAATTGAAAAATTATACGTTTTTCCTGTACTTTTTCATAATGTATTCACATAACCTTCCCCCCCCCCTTTTTCACATTTAGTATTTTCAGTTGAAGTTCCCTCATACTAAAGAGCTGTTACAAATTTTCTTCTAAACAATACCATTATTAAACATTATAAACAGTAATTAGGAATACTACAAGACTTACGGTTCATTCTCATCATTACACCATAACTGTATTTCCAGTCTTAAATCCAGATTCTCCAAGTTTTTCTCCAGCTAAAATACAAAATTTGTACAACAATCAGCATAGAATATTACAATGAAATAACCTTATTTTTATTTTGCGAAGATTCTCCAGCGTTTTTGACTGAGATACAAAATGTGGGTATTAGATTCAAAATCGTCATTATTATTACAGCTATGTAGCAGGTCCTTTGTAAAACACTGCAGGCATCATGGCATGCTGGAAAGCCACTCTGTCCTATGCAAACCTTTGGACTCAGGAACTTGTATGAGTTAACACAGGAGTAGCTAAAACTGCATTTGATCAAACAAAGAACATTCTATGCCATAAAACCATGTCACTGGAGGTTAGAAACAAAATTTGTGCACGCTATATAGAGCCAGTTTTAACATATGGCTGTGAATCCTAGATAATTAAGCAAGTCAAACAATTTCTTGAGATATCTAAAATGTGGTTTTACAGTTCTTAGAATTCCTTGGACGCCCCCCCCCCCCCCCCCCCCCAAAAAAAAACTCTCATATTATGAAAAAGTGGGGGGTCAATTCACATAGGGAACTTAACATCCTACAGTTTTTATCTAATACCTTTGAGTTATGGCCTTTGTGGCTCACAGCTTTTTCTGGCCAGTATTTGTTTCCAGTGGCCACATGTGTGTCAGATATTCTACTCGCTAGACAGAGATAGGATTTCTATTGGTGATACGTCCGTTAAGTGATTCTGTGTATGCCTGTTCATATTTGTATTATTGTAGATTCATGTAATGTGCTGATATGATAAAAGCTCTCTAACCACAATGTTCACTTGTCATTTGAGTTTGTAACAGTGTGAAGATGACTGTTTCTATGTGTCATTTGGTTAATATCTTTTCATATTTTATGAGCCACACCCTCACAGTATTCAGATCGTGAAGAATGTCAGCATTTTTACTACTCTTGGCTCAAAATACCGTAGAATCTTCTTGTCATATTTAAGTGACCGGATGTTCCTCTATAAGAATCAGCATGGAATAGTCAAATAAAATGTTTTGTATGTATATTCTTGAAGATTCCCAAAGTTTTCTGCAAGTCAAATAAAAACATTTTACTTGTCCATGTTAACACACCAGCATACTGGTCGGCACCCATTCATGCTCCATACTCTGATGCAGCAACCAATCTCAGTACACCCAGTAGAAGCTGACTGGCTTATTTCCTTTCTTTGCCCTGCTACTGGTTTTTGCATGCTTGTAATGGTCTGATGCCCATTTCCAACAGATGGTTCACTGTCTCTGACTCTTCTGCCTTAATGTAATGCCTCTAAAATGCAGCACATTCAGTACGTTTGCACTGTCCATACTTCTTCCTTCACTAACCACTGCAGACACAGCCAGTTTATTGGCTCTTTCATTTCCTTTCACACCAGCATAAAAAAAACTGGGTATAAGAATCAACTAAAATAGAGCAAAATGAAATACTCTTGTTTCCTTTCTTACAGTAAGTAATACACTCAAATCAGCAGAAATATATGGGTGTGTGTGGGACAATAAGCAGGCTGAAAGACTGGCCAGACTGCTGTGCCTGTAGATTACGTTAAGGGGAACATGGTGAAGACTTTATGGGATCAATGTATAGTGAAGTGAAACATATACAGCATCTAAACCTGGTCAGTCATTCAACAGGGGGTGAGCAAAGTTAAAAAGAATCTGGAATTAGGTGCTAGACTACATTTTTACCGACCAGTCAACACTCAACAGGTAATGTGATCAACAGCCATTACCAGGTACCCATTTAGGGTGGGTCAACATGGGAACCAAAGTTATTTTTGAGACAAATCTGCCTCAATATAGATTTGAACCCTTTAACCTTCAGGCAAGCTGCTGAGCATCTAGCCACTATGCTATCATGGCTACCCAGTGAGAAGTGGATCTGGACAAACCGAACATACATACATGTTACCTCTGGTACCATCAGTATGAGAACTTTTTGTTGGCTAATGAAGAAAGGGATGTGCTAATGTCTTGAGTGATGTGATGTCAAATCTTGATACATTCAATCACTGATGTGTGCTTATATTTTGTCATATTTTGTCCTTTTATAAAATCTACTCAGGGCAATGGCAAAATACTTAACGTAAAATGTCCTAGTAAAACCACAGTTAGTTGTGTATTCCTTTACAGGAGGCTGCAGAACCAACTGCAGCATTTTTTGGCTGTTGTGGTTTTTCTTGGCAAATTTATGTCCAGTAGTTTGCCACTGCTTTTTGAACGGTCGACTCTTGGTACCACTGCAAGATGGTCTGCTGCCATATCGCCTGCAGCTGGAATTGAACACGGCACTGCAGCACTATGAAGCATATTCACACCATCTAAACCACAAACAGCCTTCAGATACTGGGGGTGATCTGCTACAATTCTTTAACACAGGTATGTCAAACTGAGGGTCCCCCGAGGGTCACATGGGTCACACTTGTGTCGTCATGACGGCCACACGACCTCTGATTGAAGTATTTAATAAAAATGATTGCAGAATATGAGAGTCGCCACAGTGTAGCTGCTAGATGCTCGTCTGCAGACCGGAAGGTTGTGGATTCAGGTCCTGATGAAGCTGAACTTTGAAAAACAAAAAATGACTTTAGCTCCAAGGTCGAGCCAGCCTTAAGTGGGTACCAGCTGCAGTCTTGGATAGTAAAGATGGCTGGCGTGATGCTAACCACATCATCCACCAGGTGCTGATTGGTCTACAAAATATAGGACTAGCCCTATATGCCTAAAGTGTGGAAAACGGTCATTTACTTTTTGACCTTTATTGCAGAATATTTCCTTTGTGCGATACTGACATGCCTGCTTTAATGCATATGCAACACACACAAAAAACAAAAAACAAATAAATAATTGTATTATTAGTTGGGTAAAGAACTGACATCACAGCACTCGAGACATTTCATTAAGCACCCCGGGTGGGTTCCGGGGCCCCATTATGGGGAGAACAAGAATAGACCCACTGCCTCCCCAAAAGCATGTCGTAAGAGTCGACTAATTGGGGAGCTTCCTTTGAACTCGGAGTGCATCTGCCGTAAAGGCAAGGAACCAACAGTCTGTATTCAAGAGAATGAGATCTGTAAAACTGATGCACACGCAACATTCAGGTTCTGGAGCAGGACTACAGTTCAGTAGTGTACAGCTGGTGAACGCAAAGAAGAAGAAGAAAATTTCAATAAGCATTCTATCAACATCTTCAGCAGCCAAAGAAGAGTTCCAGTTCGGATGGTATCAGTAATGGTATACATGTCCGTCTTGTCTTTTCTCAGAGTATAGAGTGCTGGCCAGATCACCTGGTCACTACCCGCTGCACCCCTCTCTTCAGACTATCATGACTTATTCATTCTTCCAGCAGTACCTTCTGCTCAGTTTGTGTTGCATTTACTGCTCATCTGATTAAGACTATGAACAAAACATTTAGCTGTATTTGTTCACGTCTTTTCCATTCCCTCGGTCAAGCTTTTTAGTCACATTTTATATTTTATTTAGCACTAGCAGTATACTCTACTGGCCAGACAGATATGTGATTTCTACTGGAGATACGTCTCTTAAGCGATTCTGAATACTCTTGTTGGTACTTGTGGTACTGTAAATGTGTTTAATGTGCTGATGAAGGCTCTTTTGTTGTAACATTCACTTGTCGTATGTGTTTGTGATACTGTGAAGCTGACTGGTTTTACTTTTCATTTGGTTTGAGATCTTTTTATGACATTCATACCTATGCAATGTTCACTTGCTGCCAAAGGAGTATGACCACACTTAGCTTGTCATGCATTAAACACTCACTACCCAGTGACAGCCTACTACATTTTTTTTTGTAGAAGAAGTCATACAGAACAGCTAGATACAGGACATGTTGAGTTGATTGAGCTGATTCAAGAACCAACATCACAGCACTCAGGGCATTCCCATAAGCGCTCTGTCCCCCATCTTAAGCAGCCAGTGTAGAGGTCCGATACTAATAGTGCCAGTAGCATTCTGATTAAACGTCTGATTGCGTTTCCTTTGAGCCTCGAGCAACTGCCAGAACCTCTCATCACTCCCCCCGCTTCAATCTCACCAGACTGAGGTGATCCATTTGCTCCTCTGAACTGTACATACTCTCCCACAAGTCACTATCCAGTCAATCTGTCTGCCTGTTCACTTCCCAAAACACCGGCGTATAGTGGAGAAAAAATGCACTCTGAGAAAAATACAACCCAGATCAAGGCAACCATTAGAATTCTCTGAAAATACTTCCCACCCAGAATAACATCCTGAAGACCAACCAATCTCCCCACATAAAATCAACAGACCATTGTTTTAGACTGCAGACTGAACAGCTATTTTTACAAGAAGAGATGGAGACATACTCAGGAGGAGATTGGAGCACTTACGGTCACATCCGATTTGCGATCTTTAAATGAACAATGAACAATTTTGCATGAAATTCATGCTTTTCGATTCAGAATCTTTCCCATGTGGAGAGGCAACATAAATAATGAACATGTTCTTCAGACATGCTCTCTGTATGCAGCAGAAAGGTCCCTTGTTTCCTGTGGAAACAAAGCTATATGGATCGGTAGAAGGCATGTCTCACACTACAGTCTTCATACAGGCCTGTGGCCTTCTTATCTGAAAACCACTTGCAGGGAGAATGAAAAAGAGATTCCTTGTAAAAGCAATAAAAATACCTTTGTGCTCTCCACAAGTGTGTGAACTCTAAAAATGAATATCTCTCCAATCTCCACCTCCTCATTTCTGTACAAGATCTGAAACTTCTGAGTCTTGGCAGTGCAACTTGGTTTGTATGTAGCTGCAGCCTCTGGAGAAGCTTCTGCAGATATAAAAGATACAGAAAGTTACCATTCCCCACTTCTCTAGGAAAACACAGTTCACCACACAAAGACACAAGTCATGGTGTTTTAGCATGTAACATCACATCTAATACCTCAGGTATGTGAGTTCTGGGACCCAATTTGGGAAGAAGGGAGGGAAATGGTGAGATGAGTGCTGAGAACATAAGCCTGAGAGACAATAGTTTTTGTTTTAATCATTGCTTTCTGTTCTCTCAAACTCTTTTTGTTAATCTGCTTATTGTTGTTGCTGCTTTACCTCACCTGGTATTGCTTTCTTGGTTTACACATAGTCTGTTATCACTGCTCAGGTAAGTAAAATGGTCAACTGTCTCCAGTTCTTCACCATCAATGTAGACTGTTGGTCCATCATTAATTAGCACCCTGCACCATAATCTTCATCTTATTTCTGCTAGCTGTTAGTCCAAATTGCCATCACGCATGAGAAAATGCAGACAGTTACCACTGCAGCTTTTCCTCTGAGAGGCTGGTAACTGCAGCATCATCTGCAAGGAGCAGCTCTCTGATAAATACTTTCCTAATTCTGGTTTTGCCTTTCAGTCTACGAACCATCAGATATAGAATGGATAAATATACCACCCTCCTGATCTCAAAAGGCATATTTCAAAAGCAGTGAGAAGTATATGCCAAAGAAGGCAGGAGCAAGAAAACATCCATGCTTAACTCCATTCTTGATTACAAACTCCTCTTATGTTACACCATCAAAACTGATTGTGTCTTTTATGCTGTGTCACTTCCATGATGTAATAACTAAAGCCAAATTTGACTGCTCTCTCGTGCAGCAGGTCTTTTACCGAACGTAGCTCTCATCAGTCGGCCTGATAGAAACTTGGTCTCTCTCCATCTTTCCTGCGTCATAATCTTTCCTATCACAGGTGTCATTTATATCCAGTGCTCATCTTTATGTGGTCAACCCTTGCCACTCTTTCCTAGTAACACGCCTTCTGCTATTAATTTTTTTTTACAACGGACTGTTGCTTGCTTTGAATATATTCAGTCTGACATCTGAAGATGTCAACAGAAAAAGATAAATAGGAAGAAGACGAACATGAAGAAAAAGATAAAGAAGAAGAAGAAACAAAATCAATTAACATGAGACTGCTATGAAACCAGAAAGCCAATAATAAAGAAATAAACTGCTAAAAAAGTGATCAAAGTAAAACTGTTCAAATATTACAACGCCAGCTTCCTGAAAAGGAAATTGCCTGCTTCATTAAAAAAACTCAACAGGAATAATGATAAGACAAAACAAAAGAATTGTTTCTATGACAAGGTTTGGCAAACAGCACTTAATAATAACAGCTAAAGTTAAAAGGCTGATGTTTAGCCGGCAGTGTGCACATAAAAGAGGACTCTGAGAAAATTGTTATGAAACTGAATTATCTTTTAATTAAGTTGTGCTGTACTTCTTCATTAGTCTTTTATTTTATGATCATTTTCTTTTAAAAGTATTTTTTTTTAAACTGCAAGTACAAGCTCAAAGACGATTACCATATAATGGACAGACAAGATCAAGTCATTCTACTCCTTAGAACAGGACACAATAGACTTCGCAGCCACATGCACACAAAATTTAGGATTGGTAAATCAGGCATGTGTACACGTCTTCTTCTCTTCTTCTTCGAAGTGTTCACCGGCTGTAAACTCTGCCAGAAAGTTCTGGTTATTTGTTCACTTCCGGACTTGAGGCATGATCCAGAACCTGAGTGTTGTGTGAACATCCATTTCACAGATCTGAGTCATGTGTATGCAGACTGTTGGTTCCTTAAATCCCAGGCAGATGCACTCCAACTTTGAAGGAAGCTACCAATTAGTCGACTCTTACGACATGCTTTTAGGGAGGCAGTGGGTCTATTCTTGTTTTCCCCACAATGGGGCCCCCAGAAACCACATGGGGAATTAGCACCTGAGACAACAGATCACATCCTCCAAGACTCTCTCAAATACAACATATCAAGGCAAAATTTTGGCCAAGAGAAACACCAGTGCACCACACTAAAGACAACACTGCATATGTAGATAATCTATTTCAAGCGAAACGTAAGGAGAAGGAGGAGTAGGAGGAGGAGGAGGAAGAAGAAGAAGAAGAAGAAGAAGAAAATGGCTCAAAGCCCCCCCCCCCCCCCCCCCCCACACTACCTAAAGGTGGTAAATATGGGCAGTAAATTAATTTTTCTGACATGCTGATTGTCAGTGTCTGTGGCTTAGGCGCTGCGACTGGTTCAGTTTTAACTGTAGGCAATTTAGCAACAGACCGCTCTGAGTTGATTTCAACAATGATATCGAGAACTGAACCGTTCAGAATGCAACGACAAACTACTGAGCTTAAAACTGCCCAGTAAAACCAAATAGCCAAAAATGCTATGGTCAGTTCTGCAACGTCCTGTAAAAAATACACAACATTCTGTTTATTTATCTCCTTCACACGCATTAAAAAAAAAAAAAAATCCTGTTTTAATTCCTCTTCTTCTTTCACAACTGTGAACTCCAGTGGAAAGTGCTGACTGGTCATCTGTGTCTTGGCTCTGATCTTGTTCAAGAACTTCATTATTGTGTGCACATCTGATCTGGGTCATTGTATGCAGACTATGGGTCTTTCAAGCGGATGTGTTCTGACCTTTAAAGGGAACACTGATCCTGTTTATGCTGGCTAGGCTGCCAGGAGGGAACCAATTTCTAGGACGACCATAGAGAGATGTGGATTGATTGCACCACCTCTTTATGGCTAGTATTCATTTCCTGCATTCTCATATGTCTCACAGCTTCAACTGGCCAGCACAAATATGGATTTTTATTAGAGAAATCTCAGTTGTGATATTGTGTATTATTGTTTATAATTGTAACACTACCTATTCATGTGATGTGCTGATAAAGGCTTTATAGCCACAATTTTCTTTTGTTATTTGTAACTGTGATAACATGAAGCTGACTGTACTGACTAAATACATATGTATCTGATGGTATTTTCCTGATAAAGAAACAACACAGTTATCTGATAGCGCATTTTTTATTAGTTTTTGGGAAAGCTAGAAGCCCTAAACACATTCAATGAACCAGATGCAAAAGACTGTCAAATGACTGGCTTAGCCCTAAGGTATTCTTGTGTGTGATTTGAACAACATCACTCATTAAATTACACAGATTTTGCATGTCCTTTTAGAGTAGTAAAGCGCCATCAGATAACTATGCATTTTCTTTAAAAGAAAAAACAGTATAGTTCTCTTTCCCATCTGGTTTTATACCTTTTCATGATACTGACCATTACGAGCCCTGGTCCTGGTGCAGCACCGCAGAACTCATATGGAGTGGTATCTTTCTATTTATCAGAACGAGTGCAAGTTGTCCCAGTACCCCACTTGCCTGTGCACACCAGTAGTAAAATGTCAGCTAAAATATAGTTCTTGCATCGTTTGCCTACCCAGGACATCGAGGCCTGAACTATGCAAATAAGACATGAATTACTTACTACTCTTATCTGACAAAGCACATGATTATGATAAACTCTCATATTCTGACTATGAAATCCGCAAGAATCTTTGACCATATGAAAACAATAACAGAATCAAACTTATGATTTCTCCTGTGTGTGTTCTGCAGTCTCATTTCTTGGTGGAAAAATACGAGACCCACTGCCCCCTGAGAGTATGTGGTAAAAGGCGACTAATTCAGGAATCGCTGACATGAGAATATGTTGGGCTGAAAGGTGAAGATATTGCAGCTTAGTCGTAAACCAAAACATCAAATGCCAATCACCCTTGAAGGACAAATACAGAAAAGGGGGAGGGGGGGGGAGAAGACTTTTTACCTTTTTGAGCACTTATTCTGTTATCACTGACTTCAACCCGCACAAGAGACTTCAGTGGTGATTTGAGGACAACCTGGAGTTGATAGCAGCTGAAATAAACAGGTAATATAAGAAAATTATGAAACATTTCTTTTGTAAAAATTTATTTCATCCCTTCTGTGAATTAATCAGGTCTGACAAAAAAATAGACCTCTAAGAGAGAGAGTCTTGTTCTTAATCTTCCGATCAATACTGCAAAGTGGCAGGTTTATAGTTTTAGTTGTGGCAAGCTTTTGCTTCTGACACTAGTTATCCATCACACTTTTCTCCGTATGTAGACTGAAAGGATATAGTTTCATTGCCCACCTACTGATCTGAGTGCATGGCACAACACTGAGAGCTACAAATTTCATTAAGAACGCTTGCTGACTGCGCCTAATTGTTTGTGTTTTGATCTGCAGATTAGAAAATGGCGAGTGCCTGCTGTCAGAAAACCATGGGTGCCTTATGCAATTAATTGTGTGTGCAACTCTGATCTGTTCCAATTGCTGATCAAATCAATGATGAACTATTTTTCTTGTGCCAGACTGTTTGTGCTGGCACTTCTGATGGCTGCTTTATGCCTTTGATGAGACGTTTTTATGCTACTGGCTTTGCTGAGACTGCAATCTGTGTAGATTTTTCTGCTCACAAAGGACAGTGACAAAAATTCTGAGTGGTTTTGCCTGGCACAGAAAGGTAGCAGCCATGAGGTGCCCATTCAATATGAAGAGGGAACAGCGACTACCTGGTTATCCTAATGATGGCTGGACCCAGTCTCATAAAATGGATACCAGTGATGTATCTGGAAAAGTAAAGTATTACACTGACCAGCTTCAGCTGCAATTGCTGGCCTGAATCTTTCACCCCGGCAACCTAGAGAGAAAAAAGCTATGGCCAAGGAAACTCCTTTTTAAAAAAAAGCTATATTTTTAAAAACAAATGTATCAAATTATATTTGTTTAAATTTGGGGGGGGGGGGGGGGGGGGGGAGGAGGGGGGGGGGTTAAAAAAAAGGGACTTATCAATAAATATAAAAGGAATGGATAATTAAATGGATTTCATTCGCTTTTACCTGGAACAAAAATTTATACTGACTC